GAGAGACCACTGGTTGCAAAGTTTGAATAAGGCAGACTTTTAGTCTGAGCAGAGAGAAGGCTTGAGAGTAGGCAGAGGGTGTGGGAAGGAGGAATAGCTGCTTCAGCATTTGTAACCTGGAGAGAAATGATGCACCTGCATGGGGAAGGCAGCCAGCACGGTGAGTGCATGGGTGTTTCCTGCTTACCCTGCTCTGGGCTCCGGGAAGACAAGTGGCCAAAAGAAAAAGTGAGGCACCTTGAACCCTGTTTTATTGAGGCCTCAGGTGCTTTCCAACTTCTAGAACTCTATGGAAGATAGGTGGTACAGGTATCGTAAAAGCCAGCCCGGAATCTCAATGAGTGATTGATCACACCTAGGTCGAAGTCACCGCAAAATTTCAGTTCCACAGTCTCTAACCCAAGAGCTGGAAATCCCAAAAACTCTGAAATCAAAACATCATTTATATGACTCATTTACATAACCTGAATTCTGGTGACAAATGTGACCTGGATTTCTGGGAGGGTGTTCCAGGATGCTGCCCCGAGCCCCTGGGTGGAGGGAGGGAGTTGTGTAATATCAGCGTGTGCTCCGTACTGACATTCTCGAACCTGAGAAATTATTAATTCCGAGAACGGGTAGCTCCAAGGATTTCGGTAATAGATTGTGGGCCTAGATTCTGTCTTTATGTGCCCTTTCTCTTTATTTGTTCTTAATGTGGGTTAATCTATCCACTACTCAATATAGACAACAAATTCATAGTACGCACATCTTAATAAGCAAGTGTATGTTCACAGAGAATATGGCAGTTGCCAACTGTGTACTTTAACTCACAAGGTCAACCATCCAACTTTGTGCAATCAGAACTGCACGAGCTTTGGGCACTGAGTCACCCCCACTATGGGAGACAGCTGTCAGAATCGTATGCAGAGGACCTAGGATAGGCCCAACTGTGGCTCCACATTAAAACCACCTGGGGACCTTTGAAAAACACTGACACTTGGAACTGTCTCTCCCCTACCTAACCCACTGGAGTAATTGGCCTCAGGTGCAGCCTGGACAAAGCGAGTTTTAAACATTGTCCAGGTATCTTTGATACAGAGCAAAGTCGAGGGCCACAGAGCCAGGAGTTAAAAATCTATGCATAGAGGCCAAACTGGACCTTGCGTTAAAAATGGAACCTACCACCTGGATGTGAACCAAAAAGACTAGAGTGAGTCACTATAAACTGTGGAGCGGCCATATTAACTCTGGACTTGTGTGTGTGTCTGTGGGTGGGTATATGGGGGGGGGTGTTGTCACTGTTATTGCTGTCAAGAACGTAACTAATTGAGAGTGGTGCAAAAGTTATCAGAACAAAAACTGAGGCACACACGTTATCCCAAACATGCCTTGGCACCTGTAGCTCAGGGCCTAGGGCACCAGCCACATACACAGGAACTGGTGGGTTCAAACCCAGCCCGGGCCTGCCAAAGAACAATGACAACTACAACCAGAAAAAAAAAAAAAAGCCAGGTATTGTGGCAGGTGCCTGTTACTGGGGTTGCTGATGCAAGAGGATCGCTTGAGCCCAAAAGTTTGAGGTTGCCGTGAGCTATGATGATGCCAGGGCACTCTACCAAACATGACAAAGTAAGACTCTGTCTCAAAGAAAAAAGAAGAAAACACAGAATCAGATCTTGGGGATTATGAACTGAGCTGTGATAAACATTCTAGTGCAATTCTCCTTCTGGTAAAATGATTTTTTTTTCTTCTGAGTAGATACCTAGTAATGAGATTGTCTGATCTAATGGAAGGTCTACTTTTAGTTCTTTGAGGAGTCTCCTTACTTTTTTCTAAACAGGTTGTGTTAGATGTAGAAATAGCCCAAGTGCCCATCAATTTATGAATGTATGAACTGTGGTATACGTATACTATGAAATACTATTCAACTATAGAGAAAAATGGAGACTTTATACCTTTTGTGTTTACCTGGTTGGATTTGGAAAACATCCTTCTAAGTGTCACCAGAATGGAAAAGCAAGCATCCAATGTACTCAATACTATTATGAAACCAGTAGATGAACTAACACACCCCCACAGGAAAGAAAAAAACAAATTCAAGAAGGGTAGTTGGTAAACTTTCACATAACAGGCACAGTGTAGGGATACTAGCACACCTACTAGGCAAAGGACTCAACTACAACTTGGACTTCACCTTGCAAACACAAATAATGTAACCTAATCATTAATACCCTTATACTCATCTGAAATTTAACAAAAAGAAAGGAAATGCAGAATCAGATCAAAGTGGTTGCTCACACCTGTAATTCCAGCACTTTGGAAGTCCAAGGCGGGAGTATCACTTGAGTCCAGGGGTTTGAGACCAGCCTGAGCAACATTTGCAAGACCATGTCTCTACAAAAAATAGATAAATTAGCTAGGTGTGGTGGCAGGTACCTATAGTCACAACTACATAGGATGCTGAGGTAGAAGGATGGCTTGAGCCCAGGAGTTTGAGGTTGCTGTGAGCTATAATGATGCCACTGCATTTTATTGTGGGCAATAGAGTGAAACCTTGTCTCAAAAAAAAAAAATTAGGCGGAGCCTGTGGCTCAAAGGAGTAGGGCGCCAGGCCCATATGCCGGAGGTGGTGGGTTCAAACCTAGCCCCGGCCAAAAAACTGAAAAAAAAAAAAAATTAAATAAGGAAAAGAAATGCAAGGGCCAGGCGTGGTGGCTCACACCTATAATCCTAGCACTCTGAGAGGCCAAGGCTGGTATATTGCTTGAGCTCAGGAGTTCAAGAATAGACTGAGCAAGAGCAAGACCCCATCTCCAACAAAATAGCCAGGTGTTGTAACAGATGCCTGTAGTCCCAGCTACTTGGGAGGCTGAGGCAAGAGGATCACATGAGCCTAAGAGTTTGAGGTTTCTGTGAGCTATGACGCCATGGCACTCTACGGAGGATGACAGAGTGAGAATCTGTCTCAAAAAAAAAGAAAGAAAGAAAAACAAATCTGAAGCCTTAGCCCAGACCCACCAAATCAGAACTCACATTTCAACAAGATTTCTGGGTGATTTGGATGTACAATTCAAGAAGTTCCTATTACCTAGGTTTTCAACCTGAAAAAATGACACAGAAATATGACCCAATTTTGAGATCAGACATCCAACATACTATTTTCAAACAACACATTTCTTGATAGGTTCAAAACGCAAATAGTAAGTAAAACAAATATAAAAGTTAGGAGTTTTTCAGAAAGTAACTTCGGACTTTTAAAAAATATAATTCAAAATAAAGCAGGTGTTTTACACACCACAATCAAACTGCTAAAATCCAGAAATGAAATCAATTTTGGCCATTCATTACACCAAACATTTTTTATTCTCATTTTTCAGTTACATATAAATATGGACATTTCTCCTTAGGATTCATGAATTCTAAGCGCCGTTACATCCCAACTGTCCAGCTGAAAATCCATTTCAAAGTGAAAATGATGCCTTCAGTGTATATGTTCAGGCTGGAAAATCTTCCACTCCCCAAAAGGACTCCCAGGCAGAAACGCAATTCTTCAAATGAACAGGGTGTTTGGAATCAATTACTTTTAGTTAATTTTCATAATTTGTCCATAGCAGTTTTTTCAAAAAATTTATATACAATAAAATGCTCACATCTGACCAGATGAGTTTAACCATCACATTTACCCATGTAACCACATCCCCAATCAAAATGTAGGACATTTCAATCACTCCAGAAAGTTCCAAGGAAATTTACAGTCTTTCTCCCCACCACCTACCACGTGGAGGCAACCACTTCTACCTTGGGTTTCTACCCTACAAGGCCTCAGAATAGAACCAAAAATGATTTCACAATTTTATTTTTATTTTTTAATTTTAATTTTATTTTTAATCTCACTCTGTCACCCTGGGTAGAGTGCCGTGGTGTCATAGCTCATAGCAACTTCAAATTCCTGGGCTCCAGAGATCCTCTTGTCTCAGCTTCCCTGAGTAGCTGGACTACAGGCATGCTGTGTCCCGCTACTTTTTCTAGTTTTAGAAGAGTCAGGGTCACTTTTGCTCAGGCTAGTCTCAAACTTCTGAGCTAAAGTGATCCACCTGCCTCCGCCTTCCAGAGTGCTAGGAGATTACAGCCATGAGCTACCATGCCTGGCCAGATTTTACAATTTTATAGCTGATAAAATAGCATTAAGAACCATAAAAAAAATGTTGTCTGTAGATGTTCTCAATAGGCTCTAACCATCTCTCAAAAGTTTAATATGTGACCTCAAGGAATGAAAAAGACCTTGACCTTGGTTTAATTAGCAATACAAGTGTGGCTACAATCTGCCAAAATATTGGGTATACTTAGGTGGATTCTGGTTCTATTCACTTTAAGTAAGTTTCCTTCAAATGGGACATAACTATTTCCCGTAGTCCTGCCCAGCCATTTCTGATCCCAAAGAGAGCAAAAATGTTGAGTGATTTGCAGATGAAAATAAAAACTTCACTTTTTAAAGAAATGTTTTGATTATGTTAGGTAATTATTGGAGGTTAAAATTATAGGTTAGATGAGGGAATCTATTTCTTTTATCCTAGTCAAACACGTTTAAAAATCATTAGTGAGCAGGTTAGGCGCCCATAGCTCAGTGTTAGGGTGCTGGCCACATACACCGAGGTTGGCGGGTTCAAATCCAGCCCAGGCTGGCTAGGACAACAATGACAATAACATCAAAAAAATAGCAGGGCATTGCAGTGAGTGCCTATAGTCCCAGATACTTGGGAGGCTGAGGCAAGAGAATCGCTTAAGCCCAAGAGTTTGAGGTTGCTGTTAGCTGTGACTCTACAGCACTCTAACCAGGGCGACAGCTTGAGACTCAGTCTCAAAAAAATAAATTAAATAAATAAAATAAAAATCGCAAGCAGAGAGGCACCTTTGTGCATCCTCTTCCCTCTTGGAACAAACTGACTTCATCAATTTTCAGCAGTTCATTTTTCCCAGTTTTAGGAGACAGGCAATGATAATTTGCACAAGCCTTCCAAGAAAAGCAGGAGAAAGGTACTTGTAGGGTTTGGAGTGCTGCCAATGTAAGGTATCAGTACTATTAGTAGTTTTACTCATAAACGTGCGAAGTAACAAAATTCCGAGGTATAATACTGACATAAAAAGCATGAGACCAAATACAGCGCAGTTCCTGGCTGTCATTACTGAACATGTTGGTTTCCTAGACATTTCTTTCCTCTAATCACAAGTCCTCGAGTGCCCAGTTCCAGGTCAGAGTTCCGTTTTGGGGTGCGTGGCCATGTGCTTGGGGGCCAGTTCTCTGATCAGATCCACGTAGTCGGTTTTCTCTGCACAGGCTCTGCACTCTTCCCCCCAGCGACTGAGGATCTGCTTCAGCTCTGCCACTCTCATCTTCCGCAGGTCGACTGCTGCCAAGTCCAATCTCTTCTCTAAACGCCAAAAAGGAGAGGCACAATTAAAAAAAACAAAACAAGGCCGGGAGCCGTGGCTCATGCCTGGAAACCAGCACTCTGGGAGGCCGAGGTGGTGGATCACCTGAGCTCACGGGTTCGAGACCAGCCTGAGCTGCAGCGAGACCTCATCTCAAAAGATAAAAAAGAAATAGCCGGACATTGTGGCAGGCACCTGTAGTTCCAGCTACTCGGGAAACTGAGGCAAGAAAACGGCTTAAGCCCAAGAATTTGAGGTTGCTGTGAGTTGTGACGCCATGGCAGTCTACTACTAGGGACAAAGTGAGACTGTCTCAAAAATAAAATAAACCCAAAATATCCTCCCTGGAATGCTTACACGTAGTGTCACTCATCTTGGTGCTGAGTACCTGATTATCCAAATCAGAGTAAAAAAATTCCATTTTCCATGGACACCAAGACATACGTAAGGAAAACGGACCACGATGGTTCTTCGTGTCATAGGGTTTCATATCTTCAGGTTTTGTATCAACAGGTTTCGTATCTATGAGTTCCACATCGGGGGGACTCAAATAAGCACTGATGTGATATTAATAAAATGTGATAATACGCATACTATGGAGTACTTGGCCATTTAAAAAATGGCAATTTTTTATCTTTTGTGCCAACCTGGATGGAACTGGAAACCACATAAGAATGGAGAAACAAACCCATGTACTCAATACTAAATTGGAACTAATTAACCAACACTTAACTGCACACGTGGAAGTAAATCTCATTGAAAATAAAGTTTGGGGGAGAGCAGAGGAAGGGGTGGGTAAATTCACACCCGCGGGGCACAGCGCACACTCTCTGGTGAAGGGCACACTTACAACTTTAACTCAACCTATACAGAAACAAAGCAGGAAAGTAAGTGTACCCCCTAATAGTCTGGAAAAAATATTTTAGAAGAAAGTTTCCCCCAAGAAGGATCCGGGAAATAAATAAAAATAACAATACAACAATTTCAAAATATAGAAATAAAAATAGAATAGTATATCAACTATTTACATAGCATTTACACTTCACAGGTGTTCTAAGAAATTTAGAAGTGAGTTAAAGTAGATGAGAGGATGTGGGAAGGATTTCAGTATCCAAGCGCGGTCCTAGAGCAGCACCGGCTCGGTACTGAGGGACAAATACGAAGCTATATACAAAGAGCTATCTACAAAGCTATTGGGATGATTTGTGTTTTTATCTGACTTTCTGTCCAAGAGATCATCTTTGCATCAAAACAAGGTAATAAGAAAGAAAGCCATAAAAGGCAGTCAGTGCCTTTGGGATGGCCTTGGTTTGTGGCTAAATGAAAGCCCTAACCATTATTAGCCAGCAAGTTCTGGTTCACTTTTTCTACAAAGATATGTTTTCCTTAAAGCAGATGAGCAAACAGGTTACAAAGCACAAGTTTTAAAGAAAAATGTAAAGAAACCCAAACACGTGAACAAAGCATTCTCACTGAACCTTAATTGTTTTGGACCTCTGTTTAAACTCACCTTTCCCGATAGAATTACTAAATAATCAAGCATTTATTTACCGCCCTCTGTGGTGTACCCCACTTCTCTAATGCTAGCGCTTCGCTGCCAGTCAACCGGGCTCTTACAATTCTTGCCAATAATACTTGTAATCAACATCTAACTCCCCTAGCAACACTACTGTTTATTGTTCACAGATTATGTGCAGAAAATATCAAGAACTTGGCTACCTCTCCATTGCCAAGCCCAATATAGAAAAAAAAAGCTCATCTATAATATACTACTACTAATAATTTACCTATCAGAAAGGGTTAAACTTCTCTTTCAAAGCAAAGTCTTCTTTTGCCCCTTGACCGTCTGCCTGGTGTTTGTTTTGAACACAAATGCAACATTTAAGTTTACTTATTAAACCACTAGTAGCAGCCCAGGACTTTCTCAACTTGACTTCCCTTTAAAAACTCTCCCTTTTTTTGGGTTTTTTTTTTTTTTTTTGCTGTTTTTGGCCAGGGCTGGGTTTGAACCAACCACCTCCAGCATGGCAAATGGGGCCGGCGCCCTACTCCTTTGAGCCACAGGTGCCGCCCAAACCTCTCCCTTTTTCCCCCCAAGTAATAGAGTGTAACATTTAAAGACATTCAAAACGTAATAGTTGTCAAGTGATTTGTCAAAAATTTCTAATTAAGTGTGTTCTAATTCAAACGTTGGATGTTAAAGCCTTTTTTTAATTTGGAGGCTCAGCTATACACAATACTCCCAAGAACCCTTACATTTTTATAGTGATTCCTCATCTTTTTAAATAACAAAGCAAGCAAACAAAAACCACCTTTCAGGTCAAAAACCAAATGGCCCCTTCCTAATGGAAAACATACTCCAAGTTTATACTTACCTGATGTGTTCATTTCATGGCTGACAACAGAATACCTTTAAACACAGAAACTTTTACAGCCCAAATTATGAATATCCCACAGCACAAAGGCCCCTTATTCAATCTCATCTTTCCTGGCAATAAATAGCTAGGGATAATTTAAAACCATTGATCTATTCAAGAAGCTGAAGGAGAGAAATTCTTCTGTGCAAGTATCTGTTGTTTGAGTTCTTCTCACTTGGCATCTGGCATTAATTATAAAAGGGGGAAACCCTCTCTGATGGCCTAAAACTAAAAAAAAAAAAAAAAAAAAAATTCATACAAAAATTAAAACTAGTTCACAGCTCCCCAAGGGCCTCTAGTGGCCTGTGCTGCCAAAACATTAAGGATTCATTGCTTCTTCGTATCTGATTAGTTTTCTATTAAGGAGCCCTGTTACGATCCCTTGCATATAGGAGAAGTCATTCAAAATAAATTTGTTGAATGAATAAATCTGCATAGGTTTGTCCCTTTTGTGAATGTTGTTTTTGTGGACTCAGTGATTTCTGCCTCTGCTTCATTACTTTTGAAGCCAATAAAAAGATAACTACCCATAATAATCACCCTGGGAGTTAGGTCTTGCGGTTGGCAAATTGAGAAATAGATTGTCTTTGGTAAGTTCCAACCTTAACACCTATTTAAAGCTAGCTATGTAGCGATGGTGCATAGGTTTATTACACAGCTGTGTTGGCAAATATGACTATGAAAACTTAAGAGCTGCATGCTAATTACTTAGGTTATTTTTTTTTTTTAGGTTATTTAAATGAGTGTCTCCTGGTAGAATTTTAGGTGTCATCAAGGACAGGCTGAGGGAGGAATTCCTTTTATCACACCTCCTTTATCACATCCTTTTATCACACCTCCTCAATCTATCCCAAAGTCTGGCCCAGATATAAACCCTCAGCATAAGAATAGTTCCAGCCATCTGAAATTTGCAAGGCCAAGGATAATGTTTTAAATAGAACATCTCCTTCCTTTCCTTGCTCTTTATTTTAGGTACCTTCTGATAAACTATTCATCAGGCAAAACCTGACTTCATGTGAATAATCTATTTCCTAAAATTTAAAGTTGACAGAATGGTAGATGTGAGGAAGAAAGATACAATCACACTTCAAACTTTGCAGGCCTTGCATCATCTCCGAATAGACACAACCTTTGTCTTATTGGGTTACCAAGAGCTCAACCACCCAGAGTAGCTGTTCTCTTTATATTTTGAAATTTTCCTTGCCTTATTATGTTATGAATTTCAAATTTGTAGTTTGGGGTTGGCAGCGTTGACCTAAGGCTGATGATGTCAGTACTACTGTTCATTTCTTTCCTCAAAGAAACTCAATGGCGTTAGGCACCATTCATCAGCCCAGCAACCCAATGGGTGAGTGGAGAATTCTTCCTCTAACACTGACTCTTCAGAAACTGTGGCCCTGAGTGAGGAGGTTTGGCAATCCACTGGACGTCCCGGGAAGAACCCCAGCCTCTGGCGTACCATATTTCAGCTCACAGATCTGGCTGTCCATCTTCTTCAGCTTCTCACAGATCTTCACGGCAGGCATATGCACACTCATTGGGCGTGTGACCTCACTTAGGATTTTCGTGGCTGCGTCCTTTGTGGCTCCTAGATAATAGCACTGAAGGAGAAAGAAGAGGAGTTAGCGTCCCAGAAAATGAACACGGCAACAAAACAAAGCTATGGGGAAGTGAGAAAGAGGTTAACCTAGTTATGGTCCCGTTATTAAATTTTAACCCCTGCTGATGAAGCTACCAGGAAACAGGTGACTCCGTTCTGGTGATCATGCCAATTAGCAGCACCCTGCTGTTCATGTGGTGTCAAGAGACAACTAGGACAGCCACACTTACTGTTTTCTCTGTGCCAGGTGCAGCTCTCAGTGTTTTCAAGGTATTAACTTATTTACATCACAGAACGATCCTGTGACATAAGTGCTGTTATTATTCCCAATTTCTACCCAAGCCCACTGAAGGTCACCTGGCTAACAGAAGAGACAGAATTATAAAATCCAGCATTTGGGCTCTTTTCCATCATACGATACTGCTTTTCAAACTCTCTGACATAAGAATTTTCCATTTAAAGATATAAAACTTAATGTTACAAAGAAATGATGTTAAGTTTCCCAATGCACCCATGGTGAGCAGTCAACAATGCAGATTTAATTGACAAATTCAACAACATGATTTTAGGCAAAAAGGGATGGGCCTGAAATTGTCTTAAGTGGTGTAGAACTGTGTATTGAAACAAGCCCTACGTGTATGCCCAGGAAACACCATATAAATTGCACAGTAACAAAACAGAAATGGATCATTAGTTATGTATAAATACTAAGAATGTTTGGATAGATTTGACTCATTGTCTTGGTGACAAATGGAAATTCTACCCACTCTTAACTCAAGATGACAAATTCTCATCAGGAATTCTGTTCTATAATTTCAGTTCAGAAAATGTAGAAATGGTTGCCCATGGTATACTCGGAAAATACAAGGAAACCGGATACATTCTGGATGAAAATACCAAGACTACATTTCACTGGAAAATAGATTTCTGCATGCTGAAATCTACAACAACGTAGAAGGACATTAAGCACAAGATGAAAAAGGAAACTGTCTTATTCAAACACACGGAAAAATGGCAAGTGAAAATTTAGCATACCAGGCGGTTTTCTTTTCCTTTGGCATCCAAGCAAAAGCTGATCAATTCTTTCTCTATGGTGTCCAGTGAAAAGTTAACTCCTCTGTCTATTAAGGAGCTGTAGAATCGGTTCAAGAATTCTTTACATACTAGAAGGAACACAGAGATACGTCGGTATGCACAACTTAACCACCACCATACCTGTGTTTATGACCCATTCCCCACATAAAAAAGTAGGCATGGGTCAATGCACCATGACAGTGGATTCAAACACTAAGAATGGTTTCAGGCCTGTTGCTACTTAACAAAAGCTTATTAAATCAATTAATCAATCGACATTTGGAATCAAGTTCCACTTAACATGAGAACTTTGCCACAAAATTAAGTTAACCTTAAAAGAAAATATTGCTTTCTAAAGGATGTGATCTTGAGATAGCTTAGTTTTAAGCACGGAGTAAAACCTGAATGGTTATCTTGAATAAAGCTTCTGGTAGTTTCCATATGCCTTCATAGTCCATCATCATGACCCTTCAGTGAAGCCCCAGTTTGAACAATTGTATTCAGCCTCCATGTCCAGAGCCAGTGGAAGGGATGGCACCAAGAAGATAGTCACAGAAGATGAAATCTTGGTGCACTGAACAACTTGTCTTTGGGTGAGATACACCTAATGACACTGAAATTTATTTTTATCAAAAATCATGATATAGATACATGGAACCTGCTACGGAGGAGGTGTATGGGAGTGGACATAATAGAGCTAAGGCTCCATTTTCCATAGTAGAAAGGTAATAAACATCTAAAAATGGAAAATCAAGAAACAGCATTTTAAGCAATTGGTTTAGGTTTAGTGAAGAATGTATCACATGAAACAACTGAAATAATTGGAAGTAGCTGCCCAAAGAAGCAAAGGAGAGGGTTCTAACATTTTCCAAATAGACCCAGAAAAAAATATTTACATTTTAAATGTATAGGTACATGTGACATTTGATTTTTAAATATTACAAAACTGTTAATAAAAAGGAGGCATAACCCCTTCTCTAAATAAAAAGGGGAGGCAAAGACTTGGAAAATTGTAAGAAAGCACTATAAATATTATATTTTAATAAATGAAAAAAACAGGTAATGTGGAAAATGTCCTAAAAATCCTAACAAACAAAAATAGACTCAAACAGAAATAAAAAGGTAAACATAACCTAAATTGAAGCAGTAATTAAAAATCTGTTAGAAAAAAGAAGGAACTTGTTAAAAAAAATCATAATCAAGTAAGCATTAGAGCTGATGTGACGATAGCTTATAATTAGAAAAGCTATTGATATAATGTATTATATGGTAATCTCAAGATATGTATTTTATAAAATCCAGTTTCTTCTCTTGAAGCATGCATATATACAAACTGACCCCAAAACACGTTTATGAAAAACCAAAAGCAAATAAAAACCAAGAAACGTTTGTAAAAGTTTTGGGGGAGTACACCTAATTAGATACCAACAATACTTCTTCTTCTTCTGTTTTTTTTTTTTTTAAGACAAGTTCTCACTGTGTTGTTACCTGGACTAGATTGTAGTGGTTTCATTAGAGCTCACTGTAGCCTCAAACTGTAGGCTTAAGCAATTCTCCTGCCTCAGGTTCCCAAATAGCTACAGGCATATGCCACCATACTCAGCAATTTTTTTTTTTTTTAGGAGATGGGATCTCGCCATGTTGCCCAGGCTTATCTGAAGCTCCTGGCTTCAATCCTTCTACCCTGGCCTCCCCAAATGCTGGAATTAAAAGTGTTGGCCAATGATTCCAGCCAATTCTGCATTTGAATTGCTGCTGCTACAGGATGATGCTTTAAGGAGTAAGGTTCTGGTTCACCCACCCCTTCATCAGCTCTCTACATTCTACTATTAAATTCACTCATTAAATTTCAAATTTTTATTATGTTTTTATTCCACAAGCTCTTTTTAGTTCTTTTTCAAATCTTCCAGGTCATTTCTTACTTCCTGCAGATATTTTTAAACATGTCTTTTATGCCTTTAGACATAAGTGTTTTATGATCTGTGTCTGTGAATTCCAATATCTAAAGTCTTAGGAGTATGTTTCTATTTGCTGTTGTTTCTAGTGTTGCCCATGGTACCTAATTTCCTTGCTTATGTTGTGCTGTGTCATGTGTAATAAGCTTGAAACTTAATTGGGAAGATTTTTGGAGGCCTAAGATGAAGGTGCCTTATGCCCAGAAAGGATTTGTGTCTGTACACTGGGGTTTAAGGGGCTACTAGCCCTGTTTTAAACTTATCAATAGTTTGAAGTTTTTGGACCCTTGATGTGAATTTTGGCTGAAAATACAAGTGAGGGACATTTTATGGTTACAATCCCTCAGAGATGTATTTTTTTTTTCTTTTTTCTACCCTGCTTGGTGTCCAGGCAAATTTCCTTATCCACCTAAATGGGTTAGGTATAGGGCGTGTTCTCCCTTATTCTGAGGGAATGAACTTTTGGGAATCAGATTAAAAAGAAGAGTCTTTTAGTAGACAAAGCTCCCCACACTTAAAGCAAATCCTGGGCTTGACTGTCCCCTCCACCCCCACCCCCACCCCCACAACTCTTACCTATACACTAACTGGCAAATTCACTCAAGACAAAACAACTCTAAGTCTGTTTATGAGCAGTATTCCTCAGCCAGGCCAGCAGGATTCATTTATTTATTTATTTATTGCTGTTTTTGGCTGGGGCTGGGTTTGAACCCACCACCCCTGGCATATGGGGCTGGCGCCCTACTCCTTTGAGCCACAGGCGCCGCCAAGCAGGATTCTTTCAAAACTAAAGTCAGATGGTGCTACTGACTGAGCAAAAGCTTCTTGTGGTTTTCCACATCACTCAGATTAGGAGTAATTACATGAATTCAGCCTAGAAAAAGTGCTCCATACCTCATGACTGAATATCACTACTGTCACCTTCGAAGTACTCTTCTTGGCAAGCTATGCCCTGATGCCAGCACCTAGTACATCCTTCAGAGTAACTTGGGAGCTCTTTTTCAGGAATGGCCATTAGAGCTGTCATCCTAAGAGGTCTGACAATAAAGTTCATGAACTCATCCTAGAAAAGGTGCTTTGAAGGGTGGATTAGTTGCTAGCACTGGTTCATAGCTTCCCACGGGGTGTGCTTTGTGATATTTGGCAATCTATAATTATTTCAGATTTAAGTTTTTAAATAGTGCCATAACAATATAATCCTTTTAAAGAGACCTAGAAACATTTACATTTTTCCAGTAAGCCTCACATTACCTTACAGAGGGCTCACAAACTTACATATCCACAGGTATCAGGCAAGGAAAATGAATGAGTTAAATAATTAGAGTCTAAATTAAAAAAAACCAAAACTCAACACCTGGGGTATACACGTTCTTCATAATAGAACAGGAAGCTGGGCACAGTAGCTCACGCCTGTAATCCTAGCACTGTGGGAGGCCAAGCAGGTGGATTGCCTAAATTTAGGAGTTCAAGACTAGCCTGAGCAAGTTGGAGAACCTGTCTCTAAAAACTAGCTGGAGGTTGTGGCAGGCACCTGTAGTCCCAGCTACTCGGGCAGTTAAGGCAAAAGGATAGCTTGTGCCCAAGGGTTTGAAGTTGCTGTGAACTATGATCTCATGGCACTCTACCCAGGGCAACAAAGCAAGACTGTCTCCAAAAAATAAATAAATGAAATGAAATAAAATAAAAAGAACAGGAAAAACCAATTGCTACTACATGGCCATATGTGCCTGTCTTGCTGGGTCATCTGGTTTTTCAAAAAAAGCCAAGAAATCTGAATTTTTATATGAAATCTCCCAATTTTAAAATGTAGCTGATTAATTTTTTTTTCAAAATACTTTGTAAACTTAACACATAAATAGTTCCAAGGTGGCTCACAAACCATCCCTTTTTTACTTTTGCTCTAGAATATATATCCTACAGCATTTAATCTTACACGTTGAGGAGAAACTAAGAAAGGCTCATAAACAGTAATAGAGCCATATCTAGAATCTAATTCTCTTTGTCTCAAAACTAGTATTTCCCAGGTGGCTCCCATGGCTCAAAGGAGTAGGACACGGTCCCATATGCTGGAGGTGGTGGGTTCAAACCCAGCCCTGGCCAAAAACTGCAAGAAAAAAAAAACCCTAATGTTTCCTTCCCCAGTGATCATACAGGCTCTTTACCTAACAAATGAAATATAAATACAGGTTATTTCAGACATGCAAGTTAATAATCACAACATACTGTAATAAATTTAAGAAAGATGGCATAAGCTTTACATTGAGTTCAAGATGCTGTCTCTTCTGAAACTTCTAGATAGAAGCTCCAGAAATTAAATTACTAATGACTCCTTCAATCTACACCTCACAAATTTGACCTGAATTGTATAGGATACAATTGTATGGTATCTTTAAGCCAAATTATAACTTAGCTGAACAAGTTTAAAATGCAGTAGAACATCTATAAGTTGACCACCCAAGGGACTGTAACAAGCTGGTCAACACATGGAAGTGGTCAACATAAGGAACTATGCCTACTCTACTTATATGTACATGTGGTGCATGTCTGGTCTATGAAAAGTAGGTCAACTTAAGGAGGTGGTCAATGTAGGGAGGTGGTCCGTTATGGAGGTTCTACCGTATTATGTAGCTATTTAAAATTTGTGGAGGAAAGGGTTTAATTACTGCAGGGCTGCTAGAAAGCTGGACTCCAATTACTAAGACTTATCGTAAGGCTATACTCACCGATTCATTCAACATACTGTATATCGTGAGCCTACAATTTCCTGTTCACTTGGGATAAATTCTCAAGGTTAGGGGACATACATTTAAACTAATTCAAGGAACGATAGAGTGCTGCAGTAGTCCAGAAGGAAAAGGCAAACATAGCTGCTATTTATCTTCCCCAAACAGCTCTCTAAAGTTAAGTATGCTGATTTTGCAAGAACAGCCCCAGAGCTAGTGGGCTCAGTGAGACACAGACCCACGTGTTCTGCCTGTGGCCCAGAGCTGAGACACTGGGAAAAACAAGAAAAGGAATGGTTCTTTCCTTTTCCTCTCTTAAAGAGTTAACAATGTCCTCCTTTGTAAAGCAGCTTTACACGTTTGCTATGTCCTCTGATGTACGCCACCCCAACTCCGTGTCATGTTTTATTTTTCTTTTTAGAGTCACAAACGAGCTGGGACTTGAAAGACGTCTTCTGTTCAAGGAGAGGCAAGTCTCGCCGGTTAGAAGCAGCAGTTTGGCGCCAGGGTCAGCCGAATCTAGCAACGTATGCACAAAATCTAATCCAAATCGTAACCCCTCAGCTTCTATTGCGGCAGTTTAATAGTCACAGCAAAACCAGAATGTGGCTTCGAGGTGTCACCGGGCCCGGCTCCAGCTTTTTTGTCTAGGCTCGGGCGATGTGAAATTAGGCACAGGGCCTGCATTTCCTGGGTGAGATGTTATTTATATAGGCAGGGCCGGGAGCAGCCAAAGCAGACAACAGCTGCGCTGCGCGCCGCCGCAACGCGCCGCCGCCATGCAAGCAGGTCTCACACTGCTCACCTTCGCAGTCTCCCCCCGGCTGCCCCCCGGCCTCCTGGCTCAGCGCGGGCACCGGGTTAGAGACCAAGAGCCCGGCACAAAAGGCCACCACTGCAACTGGGCCAGCGCACCTCATGCTGGGCCTGCACAACTCTGAGCACCTCAGCCGCCCGCGCCTACCGCCTGCTGCGCAGCTGTCGCCGCGGGGCTGCTACTCCTCAGAGAGGGAAAGACTGCCCGCAGTTGCTAGGACAAATGACGCGGTTCAACCGAGAGCTTCTATTGGTTCTCACGAAGGGGCCACGGAAGGGGCAGAGTTAAGACGACTCTTCCTCTCCCTTCCCGGGCTGGCGCGTGCGTACTATCACACGCGCGGCGCGGCTCCCGCGGAGCGCGCAAAGACGCGCTGAAGCCATTCGCCCACTGCTCTTGGAGAAAGGCGGGATCTTCACGCTGATTGGCGGAGACGCGGAGGCCGACGCGGTGGACCGGACGCAGTGGGCGGGAGGCAACGTGAAGTCTCCGCGTTGCCTACTGGGGCCGTCCGGCGTTTGGTCGCTATTGCGGTTGCGGGACCCCTAGTTGCCGCTGCCGCCGCCGCCGTCCCTGCCGCCTCATGGCGGCCATCGGAGTTCACCTGGGCTGCACATCAGCCTGTGTGGCCGTCTACAAGGTGAGGACGGGGGCGCTAGGTTGCGAGCTTCGTGTCGGCCACCCGGTTCTTTGCGCGCAGAGTCATCTACAGGTTTGAGGATGGCGTGTCGCGGGTTTGGGAACGTCGCGCAGAGTGATATTGCTGCGGGGACATGTTAAGGCGAAGGGCAGAGCAGATCCAGCCTCATCCGCCGCAGCTTCCTGACGGAGGTTTGGGACTGCGGGCACGCGGGGTTCGGGGGACGTGGTGGAGGCAGGATGCCCGGAGGGGTCCAGGGACAACAGGGCCTCAGGATGTCCAGAGGGTTCCTGGAGACGGCAAGGCCTCAAGATGCTCAGAAGTCTTGGGGATGATAGGGCCGCAGGATGCCCGGAGGGAATCCTGGGGATTGTAAGGGCCGCAGGAAACCTGGAGGGGTCCCGGGGATGGGGCCACAGGATGCCCGGAGGGGGTCCCGGGGATTGTAGGGGCTGCAGGAAACCCGGGGACTACTGGGCCTCAGGATACTCGGAGAGGTTTCGGGGACTGCTGGGCCACTTGATGTCCGGGGGTGGGGGGTCCAGAGGACGTCTGGGCTGCGAGGATGCCCACAGAATCCCAGGGACGTCTGGCCTTGGGGTGCCTGGAGGAGCCTCTCAGAAGTCCGGGCCTCAGGATTCCTGCGGGCCGGCGATCCTGGGGACGTAGTGACCTCAAGATAGCCAAATGATGGTGGTCTCAGGGACGTGTGGGCCGAAGGACTCGCTGAACTGGGCCTAAACTCTAGAACCTAGAGAGTCGGGGTGGCCAAGTCTAGGACTGGAGCTCTTGATCCTGCCAAGCGTGTCTGGCTGTAAAGCCGGTTGACTGAGCACGCTCACCGGACTGGGCCTTTCTGCAGGTGAGAGAGCTTATCATGGGAAGGTGGAAGGGACAGTAATAAAGAACTCCACTGCTACTAGTCCCTCATTTCAATGTCCAGTGAATTTGTAAAGAAAAACCAAAAGGATTAGTGCTACTTTATTTGTAGAAAGGGGAAGAAAGATTTAATTGTGGGAGAAGGAAGAGCAGGACGTAGAGGGGTGATGGAATAATGGGCTTATTATTATTGGGTAGAGAAAAGTTGTTATTATGTAGACTCTGCAGGGCAGTCAGAAAAAAATGAGGCCATTCCTCAGGGAATGCACACCTACTGCCAAAAACTAGAATGCAAATAACAATAATTAAATCTACAACTTTTAAGATATCGATATAGCCGTTTTTCTCTACACATCAATGGCAAAGTAACACTGGCCTGCATGTGTCAGAGTATGTCTAATGAGGCTGTATATTTAATTTTAAAATAATATCGTTCGTTGTGCCTTTTTCTCTTTAGGATGGCCGGGCTGGTGTGGTTGCAAATGATGCAGGCGACAGAGTTACTCCGGCGGTTGTTGCTTACTCAGACAATGAAGAGGTACTGTATTATTCTCATTTGTATACTTTGAAATAGTTAAACATTACATGCATTGTAATACACTGCTCTTTTTCAGATTGTTGGACTGGCAGCAAAACAAAGTAGAATAAGAAATATTTCAAATACAGTAATGAAAGTAAAGCAGATCCTTGGCAGAAGGTATGGATTAAAATGATTCTTTTAAATATGGTAATAAAAACACATTCATTAATTCTAAGGATAATGTGAAATGAAATTTGGAAACACTATAGTTTTGGGAGGTTTTTTGGTTGCTTTTTATGACTCATTTCAAAGAGTACCCCAGCAGGCTGTCTTTTGATTATTATTGTTGGATCTTCCAAAGGATGGAATTCACTCAGACGTTTCTTGCTGACGAGTCTGTGAATATTGATATATGCCAACGTTAATTTACTTTTGGTGATTGGTGTCATTCATAGGTGGTAATTTGGACTTTTCACTTTCTTTTTTTTTTTTAATTGAGGGAAAGGAAAAGATTTTGTGAGAATTTGAGGAGTTCTTTGTGCTGTTGTTGAATTTTGCAAAGTCTGTTACAGTTGGTTATAGTTTTGTGTAGATGCTATTGATTTTCCTTAGGAGCTCTTGGTGACACTTTCTGGGAACTAACTTCTCCAGTTGGCTTACAAACTTAATCATTAGAGAAACAGCTTAATTAACATCTTATGTAAGAATCAGGTTAATCATCTGCTGTAACTTTAATTAGAAGATTAAAGAGGCTTGCCTCCCCAGACTTCTGTCTCCTCAAATTATAGATTATAGTAATTAAAGGTTTTCATTTTCACTACAGTAGTAATCCTGTTGACAGTGTTTTTAAATTTTCAAAGTGCTTTCACATCTATTATTTTATTTAATCTTCTCAACATCCCTGTAAAATTGGTAGGACAGCAATACTCTCTCCCCATTTATAGATGAGAAAATCAAGGCACAGGGAAGGGTGGCATTTCTAAATTAGCTGGGAAACATGAACTAGGTAAGATTTCAGTTCAGTTCTAACCTTCAGCCCCAGTTTTCTTTCTTTCCTACTTCAAGTGAGAAATTTAAATAGAAATTTCTTTGTGTTAATTTTCAGATTTGGAGATCATAGATTAATATTTGTTACTTTTATACATACAGATATTTTATCATTTCTTACCTAGGTTAAGTTGAGCTTGATATTAACTTTTTTTGTTAGGATGTTTATGCTCTGGGCCAAAAACTAAAATTTTAGAGAGAATTCAGTATTTTGTGAAAATAAACATCCCATATCCTTTTACCTGTTAACAAAACTTAGTACTAAGCACATTAAAAATAAGTTAGTAGGCAAGACACATGCCTGTATCCCAGGTACTTGGGAGGCTAGGGCAAGAAGATCTCTTGAGCCCAGGAGTATGAGGCTACGGTGAGCTATGATCACAGTGCACTCCAGGCTGGGCATCAGAGTGAGACTTTGTCTAAAAAAAAGTGGGTCAAATATTTTTAAATCATAAAGTCTGGAGTGTAGACAAAAGGAAGCTGGAATCATTGAGTAGCCAACAGTGTGTCTGTTCTTAAATTAAACTTTTATTCTGAGATAATTATAGTTTTACATGTTGCTGTAAGAAATAATACAGAGACATCTGGTGTGTTACTGGACTTACTACTTCCCAGTGGTTACATCCTGCAAACTGTAATATTACAATCAAGATGCTGATGTTGATATAGTCCAGATACAGAACATTTCCATAGCAATATGTTTTTGTTTTCTGCTGCTATTTGGGGGCAGATGTTTAGAGTAGTGATGTGAGTGTCCTTTGTCATGTTGTGCAGAAAGTTTTATGTTAGCAGAACAACTTAAGCCCACTTCTCTAGCCCTAAAAGTTACCTTTTAGGAAAGGAGTAACAATAGTGACAGTCACTTAGGTAACAGCCACAGCATGCTACTTAAGTCAAGGTCAATAACACATGAGCACCTTTCAGATTATTCCTACAGTATGGTCTCTCTGCTGCTTTCCCCAGAGTTAACTGCCTCATGGTCCAGGTTATTTTCCCTCTGGTCTACTCACTAGTCAATGGCAGTTTTTATAAATTCATAGCTGTACCAGGACTCAGCCTTGAAAGCATTGGCCCTTTGTTGAGGAGCCAGTTCCTTGTTGGCCCTTTGTGAGAGGAGCCAGACTAAGCCATTAAGCCCCTAGTCTAGAATCCACCATGGGCCAACTCCCAGTATGGGATTTCTCAGTCTTGGCTTCACACCTATTTATGACCTACTCATAGGTAGCACCACTTAACTTGCTGCCAAAATTATCCTTACACCCTCCCTGTAACTCTCATTCCCCTGTGGCCTTCCAACCAGAAATTGAGTCCTTGGACCTGGCTTCTCAGCAGTTATCCTTGAGGGGGAAGACTCGGCTGGCTCCTGGAAATGTGCTGAGAACACACAGAGCTTCCCCACACCTTCAGATTTGCACCTTGCTGCTCAGGAGGGACCTTTCCAACCTTCCTTCCCAGCCCACTATGGCCAATGCCAATAGCAGTGCGGGCATCCGGTGGTCCAGACAGGAGACACGAACTCTTCTCTCCATACTAGGCGAGGCAGAGTATATCCAGCGCCTCCAGACTGTGCATCACAATGCAGATGTCTATCAGGCTGTGTCTAAGCGAATGCAGCAGGAAGGCTTCCGCCGCACCGAACGTCAGTGCCGCTCCAAGTTTAAAGTTCTCAAGGCGTTATATTTAAAGGCCTATGTGGCCCACGCCACCAGTATGGGCGACCCACCACACTGTCCATTTTATGATACATTGGATCAGCTTCTCCGAAATCAGATAGTGACTGACCCAGACAACTTAATGGAGGATGCTGCTTGGGCCAAGCACTGTGATCAGAACTTAGTGTCCTCTGACAGCCCAGGGGAAGAGGGAACCAGCACCCTGAAAGCAAAAAGGACTCGGGCAGCTGATCATCAGCCTTTCTTAAAAACAGTTAAGGAATCAGATGATTGTCAACTGAGAATCAGTGACCAGATGCGAGAAACCAGTGACCTTGAGGACTCCTGGGATGAATCCTCAGGTGCAGGTAACTCCCAAGCATGTGAAGGATTGGGGTCCTAGAGTCACTTGGTTCTAAACAGCAGTGTGTGTGGAGAGTGCCCTCTTGAGCATATTCCCTTCTTCTGCTCCCCCAGCACCCCCCTTTTTAAAACTAATAATAAGAGAAAACCTCCAAGTATTAAAAAGCTGTGGCCCTGAGTATATAAGGCATTAGAACTCTTTAAACCTAGATGTGCTTTTTAGAAGCAAACTATTATAGTTCTGGCATAATTTGTAAAGGATATTTAGGAATTTCTACGTACAGAGTGGGTTGGATAGCTACTTGGAAAGGGAGTGAGACAGGCAAGGGGGAAGTTTGGGAGGTAAGATTAAACAGACCAAAATGCCCACGTTAGAGAAAGGGATTCTTCCCAGTCCAAGAACTACCATGGTTTTGTAATTGTCTCTCAACTGCTGCTGGCTCCAAGCATTCCCTTAGCAGGAATATCCTCTTTGCAACATTGTTGCTTTGTTTTTCAGGGTGTTCTCAAGGGACCCCCAGCTACAGCAGCTCCCACAACCTTTTCAGAGGTTCGCTGGCTCCCTGTCAGAGCAGCCCCATGACCAGACTGGGCATGTCGGGGGAGCCCAGTCCCTGCGCCAGCACCAGCTGCCACCCTCCTGGTGCAGCCTCCACACCGCGGCCTCCAGTCTCTCCCAGAGTTGGCTTTGTTTCTGGTGGGGATAAGCCTTTGACCAGTGAGCCCCCTCCAAAGTGGGCAAGGCGAAGAAGGCGGTCAGTGGCCAGGACTATTGCAGCTGAGTTGGCAGAGAACAGGAGATTGGCACGAGAACTTTCAAAGCGTGAGGAAGAGAAATTGGACAGGCTGATTGCTATTGGTGAGGAGGCCAGTGCTCAGCAAGACACTGCCAATGAGCTCCGCAGGGACGCTGTCATCGCAGTCAGACGCTTGGCGACAGCAGTGGAAGAAGCAACTGGTGCTTTTCAGCTAGGGCTTGAAAAATTGCTTCAGAGGTTGATTTCGAATACCAAAAGCTAGGAACCGATTATAAAAGGGCCTATTTCCTAAACTGGAAGAAGTCCGGTTCCAACATTTGCCTTCTAGAACCCTGGCTCCTTTTCTGTGTCCTCAGAAAAAAAAGGTGGATGAACCATTAATGCGGAGAGTACTAGGGATATACTTGCTAAGTTCTTTTCCCTAAGATTCTCCACTAATTGTAAGAGCTTTCAGAAATGTGAGGGGTGGCCTAGTAGAAAATGGATGGAGTCCGAGTCCAAGAGAGCTAGTTTGTCCTGGCTTTTTCTGTAATGTAAGGCAAGTTAGTTTACCTCTCTACAACATTTTCCTCAACTGTAAAATGGGCTTGATAATAACTCCTGCCCTGCCTACCTCACAGGGATGTTGTGAGGGTCCAATGGCTAATAGATGTGAAAGATTTTAAAAGTTTAAAAGCACTGTACACATTTAAGTTATTAATGCACATGACCTTAGCTGCAGTAAGGCTAGGGTGAGGCACATTAGTTTACAAGATACAGAAGTATGGCTGTATACGATGACCTCATTGCTTGAATCTTTTCTTTATTAGTTTAACTTGACTGCTTCTGGAGTTTGAGATCTTAATTTTTTAAATCCCTCGATGGCTCATTAGACGAGTATTGGTATAACATGTATTTGTACCTTTATCACTTATTTTCATTGCTGTGTCTCCAACGTACGTGCTATTAAGTAATCTCAACAGACCACCTTTCCCTCCTTTGTTTTACTAGTTCTTAGTCTCCTATCAATAAAACGATGTGATTAAGAACCAACAGGGAGCCACCATAGTAGTTCTGGTTCATGTTGGTAATCTTTGTGAAATATTGGCTGTTTTATAAAAGATTAAATGTAAGCAAATTCTTTACAGCCCTTATTATTTGGGTCCCTTTGGATGCGCAAATTATATCTTTAAATTTTGGTCACTGTTTGAACCTATGGAAACCATTCCAATTATGTTTGCTTGAATTTGCTTTTAGCTCATTTCGTTTTCTGCTGTTTTTTGTCTAGTATGTTGGGGAGAGCAAACACTACACAACTTCCCTTCTAAGAGACTTAACAAGGTTACTTTTTCTTAAGTGCTGTGGACAGAAGTTCATGTCCTTAATGGCATATGGTGGAGGAGAACAGCTTTGTTGCCCCTTCAGCTTTGGAAACACTAAAGGTGGATAGATCAATTCTGCCTGTAGTAGATGGCTCCTTTAAAGCACAAGCCCTCAACAAATGCACCGGCCCCACACACTACTTCTTTGGAAGAGATGAAGGTGATAAGCCAAACTTCCAGTTTACTTTAGAAGGGAAGCCATTACCGGCTATCATTAAGCTAACTTAAAGCCGTTAGGGGTTTTATTGGTGCTTTCAGGAAATACAAATAGGAATCTTTGGGATTTAAAAAGCTTCCCTGCTGTCTAAAGCTAGGGGGAAAAGAGTGGGCATGTTGGGAGAGGTTTTGTTTGGATTTTGCCTGGGTGCTGAGTTAAGTGCTAGAAATGCACATGGTGGAGAAATGGTCAGCACAACAGAGGGACCATACCTGAGCCGGGAATAGCTGGCAGGCTAGGCAGCTGGTGTGGTAGAATACACTGGAATCTAGTTAGACCCCGGGATCCCTCTTCTGTCACAGTTTCATCAGGCAAGCCACTTGCCCTTTTCATGCCTCGATTTCTTCATCTCTAAATTGAGGGACTTGTACTAGGTGATTTTTTTTCTAGTACCTTCCAGTTCTAAAAATCTTTTAAATAGCATAATAAAAACAAGTGAAAGTGAAGTGAATTTAATTGTAATGCTTTCAGTCAGAGCAGCATATTAGTGTATGTTGGAAATACTAGTAACGATTGTAAGGTAGCATTCTGTGGCACTAGTGTTTATTAATATATTCTTGAACTTATAAGCACCACACCGGACCTACAGATTCCTTACTCCTTTAAAAGGGCATATATTAAGGGATTGAAATGGATACAGATATATACGTAAGTCATTATATGGAAGGATATGGGTCAGTTATAACTGGATTTAACCCTATTGTAGATATGTAGACTTTTCTGGAAAAACAGGGAAGTACTTGAAGAAGAGTTAGACCTAAAAACTTGTTAGTGGTAGCAAAGTACTTAGGCAGGAATTTCTTTGAGCTGAGTGAAATGCTGAAGCATGGAAATGGAGTTCAAGTTTGAAGGTAGCATTGTGAAAATCTAGCGAGTAAAGTGACCTAAATGTGGGAGTGAAACTCAAGGGAAAGGTCCTGAGGAAGTAAACAGAAAAACAGGCCAAAAGGATGAAGGGAGGGAAGTTGCTACTGGGAGACAGCGTTCAAGAAAGCAAGCCCGTATCTGCTGGGGCACCAGGGCCTGACCATTACCACCCGCACCTTAGACCAGCCTTTCCACCATTCTGTACCTCGGGTTCCTCATCTATAAAATGGGAAACTCATAATTGTTCTACCTACCTCACAGGGGTGTTGTGAGGACCAAAGGAACAGCTGAATGTAAGAGCACTTTCAGACCTGCGAGGCACTGTCATGTAACAGAGTAGGGAGGAGACCCCAGAGCATGTGCGTGCCGGTGTGTGCTGACCCCACGGGCTGCTAATGTAAGAGGGATGCCTAAGAAAGGGGAGGAGGAAGAGAAAATGGCATTGCTGATAAAGGTGATAAATGGTAGGATTAACTCTTCCTCCTAAAGACCGTGATGTAAATGAGGTGCTATGTTGCCTTTGTTTTTATGTTCAGTAATCTAATCCTCGTGTGGACAAATAAAGTTTCTACTTGTATGTAATTGTGGATCGAGTCCACTGCTTTCTGTTGACAGCTGTATTCCTTTGTCACCTGCATTCTCTTTTTTCTCCTTGTCTAATAACTAGTCTCCAAGGCTTTGCCTACATAGGGCCCTCAGAGCTACCTGTGCTAGCTGTTCTCAGATGGCAGAGCCTTGCACAATAGGAGAGAAGTAGTTCGCCATTTTTAATAGTTGTATGAAATCTCCTTCCTGGCAAGTTCTCTTGTGAGTAGTAGATAGCCTACACATAATAGGATAAATGATCCTGGTTGGCTTAAATTCTACTTTAAAGAAACAACTAGTAAGTGTTATGCTGAAATTAAAATATAAATAGCACCATTCACTATAGGCACACTTCAGACTTTCCTACTCTTAAAATACTGGGGGAAAAAAGAAAAAAATTTGGGATGTAGTGTTAATATTGGGTTTAGAAAAAGGGAGCAGAAGGCTTAGTGAAAAGAACATTAAACTTGGCATTGAAGATTTGGATGCCAGCCATTTTGTCATAACTGTGTGACTTTAGGCAAGCTACTTACCTTTTCTCCTATTAATTAGTTTTTTAGGTGATAGAGAAGGAAGCGTGAGGAACATGCAAACACTCCAGAGTTGTGAGCCAAATTAGTCCATTAGTCTTTCTGTGCGCCTGTACACAAGGTAGGGTCCTCAGATGTTTCTTACTGAACACTTAAGATGGTCTCCAAGTAGGATAGTCCTAGCTCCTTGGAAGAACAGTTCAGTGGAAGGGTACTGATCTATGTCATCTTAATTACTAGATGAAGTTAAGCCAAGGATCAGATTTTTATTCCTGCTCAAGGGACAAAAGTACTGTGATCAGACCACTGACAGTATTAGTGGGAGGCAGTATGGTAAAGTGTAAACAATAGTAGTAGCCTAATAGAGAAGACCTGGGCTCAAGTACTGGCTCTGCCTCTTAAAAGTTGCTGCTGTTCTCTGAACCTGTTTATATCTAAAGTAAGTACCTGCCAAACATGCCCCATTTAGATGTTTGAGGGTAAAGTGAAGTAATAAAAGTGAAAACATTCTGTAGTCTGCATACGTGGGTATTACTGTTTTGAGCAACATAGTATGTGGTGTTTTAATTTTTCCATTGCCATGTAACATTACTTTGGGACATTATTATAAATCTGTCCCCATATATGTATATCTGTAGGATTCTGCACATTGCCATATGCAACATTCATACTTTTATTCTATCTTTTGATTTGTGGTGATGATTTATGTTCAGAAACTAAGGAAAGAAAATGGTCTTAGCTATCGTGGCTTGCCCTTGGTTTGCTAGCCTCTCTTTTTGTCCTTTTCATCTCAGTGGTGGCTCTTGAGGATCATAGGTGTGAAAGAATCTGACAAATCATGATACGAAAAGCCACCCCAAATGCATAGCATCTGTTAATACTAATGTCAGAACACGTAAGAACTATTTACTTTCAAATTCAAAGATTAGTACTTTAGTGGAATTACTGTAATGTACTTCTCCATTTCTCAACATAAATACTCCATTTCTATAACCTTTTACATTTTAAGACTACATTAGTATTATGCAGCTTAATACTTTTGTTTATATTTTAATATTCCAGTGGTATTAAAAAGTACAGACTTTAAACCTTATATATCTACAATACTGATTTTAATACTTAGCTGTCTTTATCTTTCTTTATGGACAGTTCTGATGACCCACAAGCCCAGAAATACATCACGGAAAGTAAATGTTTAGTGAGTATGGTTCTATTATTGCTTCCCTTTTACACAAAGTAATTGCCAAGGCCATGGCATAGAATGTTAATTTGAAACTTTGCAATTTGTATTAAAATTGTTTCCTATTTAGCACAATTATTAATTTCTTTTATAGGTCATTGAAAAAAATGGGAAATTACGGTATGAATTAGCTACTGGAGAAGAAACAAAATTTGTTAACCCAGAAGATGTTGCCCGACTAATATTTAGTAAAATGAAAGGTAATTGAACAAAACAGCTAACAGTTTTAATCTTTTGAAAGTTGACCTTAAAAAATGTTGAAGGTATTTTTAGATCTCAGGAGAAGCAGAGTGATTGAGCGGATTTGTAGGAAGACCTAAACTGTAGACCTAGTTTGGACACTAATTGGCTGTGACCTTGATTAAGTGACTTACTCTTTTTAAGTGACCTGACTTTAATTGCCCTAGAAGTAATATAAATGGCTTGGGCGTTTTCAGATTAGCATTCTCAAAACTTCTTAAGATTCAGTGGCCAAATAAACTTGGTAAATAGTGTATATTAGATCACTCATCAAAGATGTATACTCTAAAACAGTAATTTAGGCAGATTAAGTAGGTACGATTTCATCAGCACTTCAGACAAAGCTCTGAGCTGAAGAATATTCTGTTGAACAATGGGAAATACTGGAGTAGATTGTTTATAAGGCTCACTTCAGCTCTAGAATGATGTCATAAACTTGTGGGATGGAAGGCAGCCTTTTAATGTATAGGACTAACATTATCATGATGTTGTGTCTTCACATTGCTGCATTAGAGCCTCTCTCTTTATGAAACCAGTCTAATTTAGAAGATGATTAAAACTTAGAAGCCTAAGAACCAGGCTTTTTGGAAAGTATCTACTTCTCTATCTATAAGCTATCACCAAAACCATAGGAGTACTGCATGATTTAAGACTGCAGGCGGTGCCTGTGGCTCAAAGGAGTAGGGCGCTGGCCCCATATACTGGAGGTGGTGGGTTCAAATCTGGCCCCAGCCAAAAATTGAAAAAAAAAAAAAAAGATTGCAGATTGACAGGATGAGGCAATTTTTTCAGTAAGATTTTTGTTATAAGTTAATAAACGTCAGAAAGTATCACTTTTTTCCTATGATCAGAATTAATCTTATTTTTTTTAATATACAGAAACGGCACATTCTGTCTTGGGCTCAGATATAAATGATGTAGTTATTACTGTCCCGTTTGATTTTGGAGAAAAGCAAAAACATGCTCTTGGGTAAGTAGAATATGGAATTTATCTTACTGGCTTAATTAGAGGAAATACAAATTTCACAATAGGGCTATATGGTAAGATTGTATTTGAAAATGTCTTAAGCAATTAAGTTATATTTGTAAATAGCTTAGCAAAGTAATAATCATTAATATTTCCTTTTATGAAAGTCCAAGGGAACATAAACTTATGTGTGTTATACCCTCTTAGCTGTTTTGATGGGAAACATTTTTAATTACCAGGGTAAATTAAAAAATTAAATTTATTAGTTGAAGCTTAGTTTCCTAAACTAAATTTATTAGTTGAAGCCTTAGTCTCCCTGTAATTGGTATGGGAATTACAGAAGAATATGCAATTTTAGAAAATGTAATTGGTATGGGAATTATAGAAGAATATATGATTTTAGAAAATATTTATGATTATTTCTTCCTCTTAGATCTTAATAACTGAACAAAAAAGTTGCGTATAGTTTTTACAGGTCATTATGCAAATGTCATTGGTGAACAAGCATGTCTTTGCTGGATAGAGCTCTATACAGGGCTTTGGCAAATATGGAAGTTGCTTATGTGGCAGAGAGTTGCCTTATTTCCTTTTAAAAACTGTGACCCTACATTAAAGAAATTGGAGAAGTTTCAATTTTGTATGAATTTGTCTTGCTCTTTTTCTAAAGTTTGTAAGCATAGGCATTTTATTTTTCACTCACTAATATTACTATTTAAGCCACATTGTATTCAGGGTTGACTATGTAGATATAATTATGACATTATTTCTAACCTCGTAGAATTAATAAAGTCACTGTGATAAAAGTGTGGTAGTATCTTGATGGCATGAAGTCTTTGAAAGCCCAAAAGAACTGCTGAGAGAAAGTGAATTTCTCTTTTTAGCATAGACATTTTTGAGAGCTTTATTTTCCTTATTCTATATAAGTACATCCTGTTTTCTTTGTCAAGAAAATGGGCTCTGAGCATTATAGTTTTAAACAGAAAGTGAACCCTTATAATAAGTTACACCCATTTCTTGTGTTCTATTTTCTTGCTTCTAAAGATCATTGGACTTCATGTTCTCCTTGTGAAATCTTATTTGCTATTGCATAAAATCTTTAGCAGAGCATTTCTAAAAATGTAGAATTGAACGTGTTGTGATACTAAATTCATTGAAAGCAAATTGTTCACAGAGAAGCAGCTGGAGCTGCTGGATTTAATGTTTTGCGATTGATCCATGAACCATCTGCAGCTCTTCTTGCTTATGGAGTTGGACAAGACTCTCCTACTGGAAAAAGGTAGAAACTATATTTGCAGTTTTAAGATTTTTTACTACAAAGAACATTTTAGATGATAGCAACTCTATCAGTGTGGATTATTAGGACATGTAGCTGCAAAGGATGATGTGGTTTTTTTTTTTTCCATCGTTTGGAAACTGGATATTTCAAAGCTGATGCCCAACCTTCATGGATGGGAGGACATTGAAACGCTTACCTATAGTTTTTAAAATAGTTAAGAAAGGTCGTATGACAAACAGAAAGGACATAACAGGAGGGAAGGTTTAGCTTTTCTGCCCTTTGTTGCCTTCATTTTGTCCATTTCTTGGAGGAAGATTTGGAATTGCACTCCTGTCCAAGTTCCAACTCAAGCTAGGGCACTGCTGACTTTGCTACCAATTTTAATTATTAGACATGTTTAGAAACAGCTGGTGCTTTTATATACATTTGACTTGACAGGAGATGGGGGAATCCAACATCAGGATTTGAGACTCCTTTTGATGGTGAAATAGTGAGATGTACTTACTCCTAATTTAGTCATCAGCACATCTTATTGGAACCAAAGGTCATAAAACTTTAGAGAAATTAGTTCAGATACAGTATTCACTTTCTCTAATTGTCTCACCTCTTGGCATCCAAGAGTAATGGTGCCAGTTTTGCATATGTTTTCTATTGGTAGAACATTATTGCAGTAAGTAGTTTACATAGTATTAACACATAGAATTTTTATATTCAATTCTCTTAAAATTCACTGTCCTCACAGATTTCTTCTTGATGCCTTTGAAAAGTTAGTGTTTTGAACTCTGGTTCAAAGTCTTGTCCCCACATGACTAAGTGAAAAAGAGCTTTGACTTGGTTCCAAAGACCTGGTTTTGAGACTGAATTCATCACTGAGTGACTATGGGCAACTTAATCACTCAGCTGAGATTTTCAGTTTCCTCATTTGTAACTTAAAGCGATTAAACTGAGTCATTCCTAACGTTCAACTTGTCTTTAAAATGTGATTTATTCTTTCTCTTGAAGCAATATTTTGGTGTTTAAACTTGGAGGAACATCCTTATCTCTCAGTGTCATGGAAGTTAACAGTGGAATATATCGGGTTCTTTCAACAAACACTGATGATAACATCGGTGGTGCACATTTCACGGAAACCTTAGCGCAGTACTTGGCGTCTGAGTTCCAAAGGTAAGCATTAATGGCCTGGATAATACATTTTGATAAAGATTTATTTTCCAGTTTCTTATTTTTTTTCCTAACTTATTTTGAATTATCCAGCTGCAAAGGATGATGTGTTGTTTTTTTCTTTCCATCCTTTGGAAACTGGATATTTCAAAGCTGGAGTTATAATATCCTATCTAGGCAACAGCAAGGAAGCGAGGCTATGCCCAGTGCAGTGTGCTTGGATTTTTCTGTTACATTAAAGGGGACCACCAGACATTGACCTCCAGGAGCATGGATCTCAAATTTGTTTTTCTATTCTTCATGGGCTACTCTGTCTGGATAAAGGAAGGTAGAGGCACTAAAGCCTCAATGCCTGCTGAGGGTTTTTAAAAGTTTAGACCTGGTATAGATTGTCATTTTTTTGGTGAAGATTATTGCATTTTGTTATAGTTGAGTGAGTTAATGTTTTATGGAGTATTGGTTTTAATTATTAGTCTACCACAAGGAATATTTTTAGTCTTGTTACTGGATGTAATTACTTCATCCAGGATTCTTACCCTGACTGGATATATTGAGAGTCAAACATATAAAGGTTATACTTTGAGTATTATCGCTGTAAAAGAAAACATAATTGAGGGCAATGCCTGTGGCTCAGTGGGCAGGGAACTGGCCCCATATACTGAGGGTAGTGGATTCAAATCCGGCCCTGGCCAAACTGCAACAAAAAAAAATAGCCAGGCTTTGTGGCGGGTGCCTGTAGTCCCAGCTACTCAGGAGACTGAAGCAAGAGAATCATCTAAGCCCAGGAGTTGGAGGTTGCTGTGAGCTGTGACGCCACAGTGCTCTACCAAGGGCCATAAAGTGAAACTCTGTCTCTACAAAAAAATAAATAAATAAAATAATTGAAACAGTATTTTCCCCAGTTTGATTACACTCATTGGTGAAAAAAGTCTTGAAAAAAATGCTAAATTCTTACTTGTTTAATCAAGACCTCTACTGCTTTTTGTTGTAAAGTTATTTAAGCAAAACCATTGATCACTACTTAGCAATAATTTTAAAAATTAACTCATGGAGGTAGAGGATCTGTAGTTTACATATTTTATATGTGTCAAATTTCTTTGAAGAAGCATTTTTAGGTTAATTTTTTTTTAATGTTCAAGAGATAATTTTATGCCATTTAACAGTGACAGTGCTGTTGTTATAAAGGGTAACATAGGAGACTTTGACTCAGTTACATAAGTTTCCTTTAACCTCTGGTCGTCATACCTGAAGAAGGCCCTTGTCTACTTTGCGTGCTTTAAAGTATAATCTGCTGTTCCGTAAGGCAGCAATTCAAAATATATTAAGTAAATTGGTTATTCTTAAGGTGATCCTTTTTGTAATTGCAGAGAATGTTCCTAAGAAAGTTGAGAGGAATTAGGAGCAGAATTCTAAAATCTGGAATGTAATATTGATTTATGAGTTTATTATTATTCTAATAGGGATTACCCTGGTTTTAATTATAATAAATTCTAAGTAGCCCAACAATTTTAAACTTGAAAGGCCGTGTTTTTAATTTAGATCCTTCAAACATGATGTGAGAGGAAATGCCCGAGCCATGATGAAATTGATGAACAGTGCTGAAGTCGCAAAACATTCTTTGTCAACCTTGGGAAGTGCCAACTGTTTCCTTGACTCATTATATGAAGGTCAAGATTTTGATTGCAATGTGTCCAGGTAAAACTGAAGTTGAAAACACTTTTTTTTTTTTTAAATTTCAGATTAATGTAAGGGTACAGACAACTAGGTTACAATGTTTGCATTTTTAGGTAGAGTCCCACTTGTAGTTGTGTCCCACACCCAAGAGGTGTGCCACATACCCTTCCGTTGTGTAAGGGTACAGTGAAAAAACTTTAAAAAAAAAAATTCCAGAAACATACTTACTTAATTTTCTCACCTTGGTCTTTTTGTTTATTCAAGATTTATTAGCCATCTGTAAAAGAGGAATTTTACTGTCTTTACTTTTGGTGTCCAGTTTTTGTCCCACTGAATAATTATTCCCAAAGTAATCACATCAGTTGTGACTGCTTGCCCTGTTATTTTATGGCTGCAATTAGTTGTGTGTGAAAAAGGCATCCTTGATCTTTCAAAGAAAGGTGGGATGGGATTTGCGATTTCAGACTTCCAGATGTTTCTTTCTAAATTGCAGTTCCACCTGTATAGTTCCTAGTTCTTTGTTGCTTAACTTTGATATGGGATGTGTCATATTTCAGTAGGACTTAATAGCGCTACGTAGCATGCTGTGTTCTAGTACTTTATTTATGTTAAGTCATCAAATCCTCATAACAGCTCTATGAGGTGGGGTAGGTACTATAATTATCTTTATTGTACACATGAAGAAGCTGAAACCAGGGAGATTTTGTTACTCTCCCAAAGTCACACAGCCAGTGAGTGAGGGACCTGGCACTCAACCTAGGCAGCTTGACTCCCAAGTTCATCCTCTTTTTACCCATTTCACTGTAGATAGCCCCCAACTTATAGATGGTTCACCTTTCAATTTTTCATCTTTTACCATGGTGCAGAAGCAATGAGCGGTCTATAGAAATCATAAAATTGAGTACCCACAAAATCCTTCTGTTTTTCACTTTCAGTACATTATTCAATAAAGTACATGAGCTATTCAATATGTTATTATAAAATAGACTTTGTTTTCAATGATTTCGCCCACTCAGAACATGTAAGTGTTCTGAGCACACCCTAGGTAGGTAGACTGGGCTAAGCTATGGTGCACCGTGGGTTAGGCGTAGCCAGTGCCTTTTTGACTGAGGAAATTTGCAACTTGGGGTTTATCAGAACAGAGCCCTATGATCAGTCAAGGAGCACTGGTGTACTAAAGATTAACGTCTGCCTTGTTTTTGTTTGCTTTGTCATCCATCATCATATATTTGACGTTTTCATAGCTTTTATGGCATTTAATAAGCAAAGATTTAATGTGAATAAAACCCTTTTTAATATCCATGTCTTTTATATAATCAAGACATTGGTTGAAAGCAAGAGCTGCCTTTCCTCAGACTAAATAGCTGTTCCCAAAGTAATCACAATAGCTGCAACTGCTTGTCCCATCTTTTTATGGCTACAGTTAGCACCGTGTTAAAAGGCAGGCATCCTAGACCTTCAGCCTAAGTCCTAGTGATTGTGCCTTTGCCTGGAAAGCCCAAATGGATAAGCCTGCCCTCGCCTTGTGTGTTGCATATTTGCCAACACTAACGATAGTGATAGCGACCGTTAGTTTGCCTATTCAAACCTCCCAGCATCTTAATAAGTAACTTTGAAACATAGTAAGAATTTTCAGAATTGCAGTATTAGTTTTAGAATTCTAGAGACTGTATTTGATTGTTATCTTTTTGTTAAGTCTTGCTTCTTCGCTTTCCCTGGGCTTTCCTAAAGACTAGATCTGCACTGCTCAGTACAATAGCAGCTATTCACCTGTGGCTGGTCACACTAACACTTTAGTTCCTCAGTAGCACTCGCTATACTGCAATAGTTTTATGTGGCTAGCAACTAGCAGAAAGGTCTGTTGGATAGCATGGCTCGTCACATCTTTGTAAAGATTTTAAGCTACAACTCAAAAGATTAAAAACAGATGTTAAATCGAATTGAAATCTCTTTCAGGGCAGAGTATATTTTTATATTTCTAGAATTTCTTAGGGTTGTTTGTCCCAGTACTTAATATGTTTACTTATTAATATCAGTAATTAAGGAAATGAAATGTGTAATTTTTCATTAAGAAAATTTTGCCTTTATCACAAAGATTAAAACCATAAAAGTATGTTTTCATATACATAGATAAGACACATTTTAAAATCACCCACCTGCATTTAGAAGTTCAGCATTAAATTGGGAAGTACATTTTACATGAACATACACTTTTCATAAAATTTTATAATATGCCAATATTCAACCTTTTTAGGTAACACAAAAGGACTAAACTTAACTGTAACCTTGACTGTCAAGAGAAATGATTAGAAATCTTTAAAGCTTTAACATGTAAAAATAGCAAACTTTGAAATGATTTGGGTTAATAAGGTTATTGTTGGGAATGTCATATACTGTTAGAATTTTTTTGGAAAACTTGGGCAAGACGAACTTCTACCTGAATTTGATATTAAATATCTTTATACATACGAAGATGAATAACTTAGACTCTGTCTTCCTGTGATATTGCACTGCTGGTATTTAATACCTTGTCTGATCATAAGTCAGTCAGGTGACTATCACATTAGGTGCATTACTTGTCACAAAAACAGGAATTCTATTTAAGTGTACTAAGCTTTTCTTCTGTCTTTTCCTGTGTGTATGTATAGAGCACGATTTGAACTTCTTTGTTCTCCACTTTTTAATAAATGCATAGAAGCAATCAGAGAACTCTTAGATCAAAGTGGATTTACAGCAGATGATATCAACAAGGTAATGCTTTTATATTTTTCTTAATTGATTTAGGAGTAGTTTCAGACTTGGAATTTAGGAAATAGCTCTTGGTATTGAGAGAATATTTTTATACGCTTAAGTATTCTCTGAGCTTGTGTTAATGAGTAAGGAAAATGTTAATGAATAAGTCAGGTGATTGTAAGTAATAGAGCCAAGAATTAACGCAGTGTCATTTGCTGAATCTGCTCTTAACCATACAGCATACCACTTCTCTCTACTCAAGCATTTTCAGACCTTATTTCTATGTATTGAACATACTCTTTCAGAATCATGCCCATCTTTGGACATGAGCTATGCTTTTTTTTTTTTTTCTTCTGAGACAGTATCTTGTTCTGTTGCATGGGCCAAAATACAGTGGCATCACGTCTCACAGCAACCTTGAACTCCTGGACCCAAGCCATCTTCTCTTTTCCTTTCTTAAAGTGTTTATACATTTTTCGGTACCCTTTGTAAATATGGAAGTACATACCTCCTTCAGCTGGTGTCCTTCATGTTCTCACCCGACCGTGAACGTGGCGTTCCTCCTCAGTTCACACGGACAGGCCTAATTTTCCTCACTTTGTCTTCTTTGCCACATTGAACTTGAGAGCATCCATTAAAAGACTGAAATAAGAAGTGGTTATTGATCCTTCCTTGGGCTGTGTATTTAATCAATATTCTGAATGCTCACGGAGTCATAGTGCTAAACAGATGAATCAATGAGGAACTTATAATTTAAGAGAGCAATTTTATATGAAGTTCTTCAGAGATAAAAGATTTAATATGACAGTATCAAGAGCTTAAAATACAGTTTCATATGATATTTCTTTTTTCTCAAGAAACTTTTTCTTCATAGTGAAGGCAAAAAGTCAGTGGTATAGTGGGGGTTTTTTGTGGGGTTTTTTTGCAGTTTTGGCCAGGGTGGGCTTGAACCTGCCACCCCTGGTATATGGTGCCAGCACCCTACTCCTTGAGCCATAGGCGCTGCCCTGTGGTATAGTTTTCACATAAATAGATTGGCCATTTTTATTTTATCACAAAAATGCTGTAAGAGTTACTTAAACATTTCTTTTCAAAGTTGGAACAATACAAAATATTAATGTTTTCTGGTCAGGTGACCCTTTGTGGATAAGCCTATTAATGATGAACCACATTATAGCTCTGCTTTATTTTCTAATAATGTGGTGAGATTTCCTGATTTTAAATTTTGTTGTTATAACTAAAAAACATATTCTCTATATTCTCTTAAATATATATGTATATATATTTATGTAAAGTATAACACAATCTTGGTGTATAGGTCTTTTTGGTAGTTTACCATTATATATGAAGATGATAACTCAGCCTATTAGAACTTTGAGGAACAACCATTTTTCAGAAAGTAAATGACTGAAAATGATTTTCATTTTCTAGGTCGTCCTTTGTGGAGGGTCTTCTAGAATTCCCAGGCTACAGCAGCTGATTAAAGATCTCTTCCCAGCCGGCGAGCTCCTCAGTTCCATCCCTCCCGATGAGGTCATTCCTATTGGGGCAGCTATGGAAGCAGGAATTCTTATTGGGAAGGAAAACCTGTTAGTGGAAGACGCCCTCATGATAGAGTGTTCAGCCAAAGATATTTTAGTTAAGGTTTGTCCCACTTTTCTATACTTTTCCATAGAAATAGTACAAAATTAATGGCACTAAGTTTTCATACGTGCCATGATTTTATAATAAAACTTTTATCCTGGTGAAGATTTTAAATTTAGGTTTATACTCTTTTAATGAGTTCCTTCCCTTCTTTTAGCTCATATCTATCTAACTTGTTACTTTCCTGGGAAAATAAACCTATAATTAATTTCCTGGGAATAAACCTATAATTTTAATCATAAGTAACTAATACAGAGAGGCATGTTTCAATGTGTTTTTAAATAGAGTGAGGTGGGATTAAGGATGATTGCTCTTCTCTGCCTGGTTTCTAGATTATCAACAAGAAATATATATATACAAAGAACACTTTTTTTTAAATTGTGAAGGTAAAAGTTAGAGGAGATGCATCTTTTTTTCCTGCTTACTAGGGAGTGGATGAGTCGGGAGCCAACAGATTCACAGTATTGTTTCCGTCGGGGACTCCTTTGCCAGCTCGAAGGCAACACACGCTGAAAGCCCCTGGAGGTATTTCTTCAGTGTGCCTTGAACTCTACGAGTCTGAGGGGAAAAACTCGGCCAGAGAGGAAACCAAGTTTGCACAGGTGAATACATAAAATGGGGAGACTTGGATAGTCTTAGTCACATGAAACTGTTCAGCTTTTTTTCTGGATTAGATTCAATTTTAATGTCTCAATTAATAGAAAATATTCATTTTTGAAAGAGGGAAGAAGTAGGCCATTTTAATCTGAAAGTGTTCTGGGAAAATAAAAACCAAATACACTTTGCATTTATACTACTTCCCTGCAGTGCTCTTGGTCCACTTTGGAGTGAGATGGGGGAAAATATCATTCTTTGTTTGCTAAATGAACAGTATTATGCTCAGGTTGTTTTTAATCCGGAGCCCATGCCTTTAGATGTCCTTTTCCAAAATATCACACTCAGATTTCACACTGTATAATCCTCCGCATCCTTTTCTAAGAGTGAGGTGGAACCGTGCTATTTCCTTAGACACATGTCCAGGAAATACAGTCACACAAGGACTGCAGCCCACAACCTGATGTCATGTGTATTTAAATAAAAAGATGGAGAGCAGTGAATGGGTGTGTGTGTGAGGGAGTAAGTGGGTGTGCACTTTGGTACCCATGCATGCATGCATATAGGTATTTAAACCATATTCCAGAAATTTCTTAGCGGGGAGATAGATTGGAGTGATCCAAAAGGGCTTTCTTTTTTAATTTGCTTTTTATACTTTATACTGAAAGTTTTACAAACAGCACAGGACATGAGCATGAGTTACAGTAAACTTAGAATGAAGGTAACACAAGAGAATGACGAGAAGAGTATTGCTTTTTAAAGATATGTACAAATGAGAAAAGCCTGGAACCAGACTAAAGTGTCTAGTTCTTTTTGAGAAAAGGGGGTGTTGATTGGTGATGAGTGATACTATATACACACATACATGATATATATCTTTAGCTTATGTATTTATTTTCATATTCCAATGTAAGAATACTGAAAGCACTTGCGTGCATGTACACACACACCCACACAGCCTGCCTTGGGCTGCAGCTCGGCCTTACCAACTTGGTGTCCATTGGTGAAGTTTAAAAGTTCCCCTAGATGATCCTGCTGTGTATGTATAAGAACTTTCCCGTGTGCCAGATTTCCAAACTCAGATGGCGGTGTTAGTCTTCCCTCACCTGCTCTCTCTCACGCCTGCATTACCTTCATCTTCAGATCCTAGTGCTACCCCCATATCCTAACTTAAAGATTCCAGAAGAGTCTTTAAGCCAGTCACATAACACTGAATTTGGAAGAAAATCTTTCAGAGTTCCCATCTGTTCTAACCTCATTTTCCAAATGAGTAAAACAAAGGTACTTCGTGACCTACCTTAAGTTCATTAAATTTGACCTTGGCAGAGTCTGAAAAGTCACTGGTAAACTCCAGCTTTGGTTTCTTCCTAAACCATTCTTTAGGAAACTGGGACATTGTATAGTAAATTCATTAGCATCTCTTACTTATAAATACAATCTTTGTACAAAAGAATTTGCCACATTTCTTTCAAAAGGGGGTTTTCCAAGTGAATTTAATTTTTTATTTTTTTTAAATATTTATCAGAGACTTGCCAAAGTATGATCTGCATGTTAGTAGCAATAACTTAATTACCAAAAAGAGTAGTCTTTATTTTCTGAGACAAACAGTGCTTCTTAGAAACAATCATTTTAATCTAGGACATGACATTTAAGAGGGCCAAATACATTTGTTATCTTACATGCTCTCCTTCTGGATGAGGCATTTCCAGGTAACAAAAGCTTTATTCCTATTCTCTGAGTTCTGTTTAAATTGTAGCAGAATTGAAAACAGCCCTATTCTAGAAGCTTTGTTTCGGTAATAAGTATGATTTGGTCCTTTGCTATAACTGATACATCAGTTCATTAGGATGTCAAAGTATGAATTGTCTTTGTATTTTTTTTTTTTGCATAAACAGGTTGTACTCCAGGATTTAGATAAAAAAGAAAATGGATTACGTGATATATTAGCTGTTCTTACAATGAAAAGGTACACAATTAAACTACTTCTGATGTTAAGAAAATTTCACTTTGAAACCTCACCCTTTTGTGAGTTGATTTTTCATGCATTGTCATTCTAAGCAAATCATTTATTGAAAACCTGCAAGATTTTCTTGGTGAATTATATTTTTAACCTACCAAAATTATACTGTACAAAGAAAAGTATATCTCAAGTTGTAATGTTTGCATTCTGAGTATTTTATGAACTCTTTATTTTGGCTACAGAAAACCTAAAAAACTGGTCTGTGCCAATTTGAGATGTAATGTTTATCAGTTTTCAATATAATTTTCTAAGGTTCATATAATTGATACTATTTGTCCTGTGAAAGGATAAACTTGTTTTATTCTACAGAAACTCTCTAAGAAATAAATAGCTTCTAAATTCAGCTATTACCATGTCCTTAACAATAGGCCACCCATACTATATATTGCAAGTAAATCCTTTCCAGATTAACAACTTAATCTGGGGCATCTTATTCTATAAATCATACTTAGCAAGAATGTTGAATTCATAAGATGAGTTTACCTTGGCCTGGGCTTGAAAATGGCATGATGGCATCTTAAGCTTGTTTCAAGGAATATAACTACTGTCTTAGTGGTCTGGGAGGAGATTTTTAAGAACTATCTAAATACAGCATATGATTCTAAATTTAAAGAAACTGTGAGTGGTGTTTATTCTTATCTTAATATTCTTCTTTTTTTCTAAATTAAAATTAACCATCGTTTATACTTAAGTAATTTGTTGTGGACTTTGTGTTTGTATAAAATAAGTATATAAAATGTCAACTTGTTTTTTGTTTCTTTAGGGATGGATCTTTACATGTGACATGTACAGATCAAGACACTGGAAAATGTGAAGCTGTAACTATTGAGGTGGCATCTTAGTGTGTTAGAGAAACCAAGGATTTTTTTTTTAAATGAGAATATCAATGTTATTTGGTTTTGTGTATACATGGTGTTTATATTCAAATACTTTTTCAATGAATAATATAAGCTACGTTTCTATTAAACTGCTATATATCAGTAAATGTTGCAGCCTTTGTGTGTGTGTTTTTCCTATAAGATGAACAATTACTAATGAGAAGTGTAAAGAGTTTTTGTCAGGAAGCTATTCAAATTAAATTGAATTGGCTTAGGCTGGGCACAGTGGCTCATGCCTGTAATCCTAGCACTCTGGGAGGCCAAGGTGGGCAGATTGCTTGAGCTCAGGAGTTTAAGACCAGCCTAAGCAAAGGTGAGACCCCATCTCTAAAAATAGCCAGGCATTGTGGTGGAAGCTGATAGTCCCAGCTACTCTGGAGGCTGAGCCCAAGACTGTGAGGTTGCTGTGAGCAATGACACCATGGCACTCTACCCCAGGGTGACTGAGTGAGACTCTGTCTCAAAATAAAAATAAATAGAAAACAAAATAAAAATAAATAGAGTTGATTGAAGAAAATTTTACTGGAAATTTTACATGTTCTTTTTAAGTTTTCTGCTTCTATGATTTCCAATTTTAGAAAATCTTTTATTGATTCTTGTTAATTAACTAAGCGACCAATTAAAAGTCCTTGTTATTAATTGAAAAAAATGGCAGAACCATATGCCAAGTAAGATAACTTTAAGAAAAAAAAGTGAACTCGTAAATTTAATTGGGAGAGGGGCTTTTACTTTTTTGTTTTACAGTTTTGTTAAGTTTGATTTTTTTTCCCCCTCCAACAAACATGTTTTTCTTTTAAAATTAAAAGAATTTTGTTTTATTTTCAGGAGACTAGCCACGCTCTGTTCATCAGAGAACATGGGGTTCCCAGTGAGAAAGCTTATTCTCTAAGTAAAACCAGAAAACTGATCTGTTCAAATTGGGGGGAAAGGTTAGAAGATGAGCAGATCGAGGTTGTACTCCCAAGAGAAATTTATAGAATAAAATACTATAAGATTTACTCAAAAGTTTATTTTCTTCCATATTTATGTAATAATTTGCTAATTCGAGCGCTTTCTCCGCAAGATTATAAGCATTGTGAGAGCAGACTCAGTCGTAAGTCAGCATTTTTTTTTTCATTTTAAATTTGTTTTTTTATTAGATCATAATTGTTTACATTAATTCTCTCATAGGATACAGTGTGTTGCTTCTATATGCAGTTTGGAAAACTCTCATCCAAGTGGCTAACATAGCCATCATGTCTTTCTCATAATTGTTATGTGTAAGTCAGCATTTTGTCTCAGTCCCTGAAGAGTACATGAACATAGTAGGGGTTCATAAATATTTATCCAATAAATGAATGATGTGGAAGAAAAAATAATAATGTTATCTTTGTGATCCTACAGAACAATGGCCAATAAAATAGAACCTCCTTAGCTGACCACCTCCTACAATGACCACCTCCAGCTGACCTAGTGTTCATAGACCGGACATGTACCACGTGTGTGTTACCAGTACAGGAGGCCTCGTTCCTTATGTTGACCACCTCCTTATGCCGACAGGCTTGTTACAGTCCCGTGAGTAGGTCAGTTTACAGAGGTTCTACTGTACCTCTTGTGCATTTCGTATTGCTTAGAAACACAATAAAGAAGGAAAGAAATACCACTACTTCTGACTTTACTGGTCAGCTTGGCGCGGTTTTTTTTCCCCCTCAGATATCAAATTTAACATTTTCATCAATAAGTGCTCTATTGCCTAATGAAAGGCTTCCTAATTTTCTGACTGTTAACATGTACATTATAAAATTTAAATTCAAAAAGAAAAAAATATAAAACATTCTGTATTCTACCAACTAGAGACATAAGTGTTAAGATATTTTTGGAGAACAGCTTGATAATCTTTTCATGCACTTAACCAATTATCTTTGCTGTGTCATATATACGTATTTTCAAACTTGAACGTTTACCAGCAAAAGATGTCAAATTATAATTTTTTTGCAGTTTTTGGCCAGGGCTGGATTTGAACCCACCACCTCTGGTATATGGGGCCAGCACTCTACTCCTTTGAACCACAGGCACCACCCTCAAATTATAATTTTGCCTGTTAACATGTCTGACCTTGTCTAAAGAACAGAACCAAAAATAAAAATGGGAAGAAAGTCATAGGGGGTATCTTAGTTTGGGCTGTTATAACAAACTTGGACTGTGTGGCTTACATAAACACGGAAATTTATTTCCCACAGTTGTAGAGGTTGGAAGTTTGGGATCAAGGTGCCATCAGAGTTAGTTTTCCATGAGGGCTGTCTTCCAGGCTTAGACTTAATCATTTGCGTCCTCAGAGAAGACAGATGTAAAGAGCTCTGTAGGGGCCCTTTCAGGACCTAAGGACCTAATCGCCTCCCAAAGGCCCTGTTTCTTAATACCATCATATTGAGGGTTAGGATTTCAACATAGGGATTTGGGGGGACATAAACATTCAGTACATAATATCTTTCATCAGAGGTTAGGGCTGGAGACAAAAAGTTAGGAATCTTATGTGTAATGGGAACTCAGGCAGTCAACATAGGGAGAGCCTAAGAGATGTGGTCCCAGGGTCAAGCCCTGAGGAACCCCAACAGTTAGGTTGGATAGAGGAAAAGGAGCCCAAAAGTGGCCGGATGTTCACAGTGTGCCGTGTGGACACATGGGAGAGGGAACGAGAAGATTGGGGAGGAGAGACCCAAGCCCTAGGAGGGGAGGTGTAATCCTAGCAGGTGTCCGTCCATGTGAGAGGGATGAATATGACCTTTATTCCCTTTTTTTTCTTTTTTCTTTTTTTTTTTTTTTTTTGCAGTTTTTGGCTGGGGCCGGGTTTGAACCCGCCACCGTTGGTATATGGGCCCAGCGCCCTACTCCTTTGAGCCACAGGCACCGCCCCATGACCTTTATTCCTTACCAGCAAGGTAGTGAAATGCTCGTAGAAAATGGTCAAATATATAAAAACGAGAACTTGAAAAATCACCCCGGAAAGACTATTTTGGTATCTTCTCATTTTTTTTCTTACATAGTTTTTGGGGCATTTGTTTGGTCTTTGCTCAACATATGAAACAGTCCCACGTACTAAAAGCTTTTTAGATAGCTACACAGAGTTTCTTAATGGAATCAAATAAATGGAATCAAATAACCATTCTTTTAATGTTCTGCGTTTATTTCCAATATTTCAAATTTACACATGCCACTTTGAAACACGTATGCTTTTTCCCTCCCCCCCCCCAGACAGAAGAGAGTCACTTTGTTGCCTTGACCTGATAGTGCTATGGTGTCATAGCTCACAGCAATCTCAAACTCCTGGGCTCAAGCGATTCTCTTGGCTCAGCCTCCCAAGTAGCTGGGACTACAGGTGACCGCCACACACTGGCTATTTTTAGAGGCAGGGGTCTCTCTCCTGCTCAGGCTGGTCTCAAAATCCTGAGCTCAGGCAATCCAAACCCGCCCCAGGGTCCCAGGGTGCTGAGATTACAGGCGTGAGCCACCGCACCTGGCTGATTTTCTTACATGAATCTTTTAAAATTCCTCTGTAGATGTCAAATGGGTTTCTACTTTTTGCAATTTGCCCTTTCAATCACCGCAAACGCGGTGTGAAGAACGCGTGAGGGAGGTAAGGAGACAGCAGGGAGTCCCCCGGCCCTCCTGCGGACGAGACTGGGGTGTGCCACGGCCTTGCCACCAACGTGTGGACCAGCAGCACCGGGCAAAGCCCAAAAGTCAGACCGCAGAAGCTCAGGTCCCGTCTCGGACCTGCCAAATTCAAATCTGCCTTAATATCAAGTCCCCAAACGATTGCTATTACCCCTAAAGCGTGAGAAGCACTGAGGGCGACCGCGGGTTTCGATATACGCTGCACAGGAGTCACCTGTGCAGCTGTAACTGACCAAACAAACCAAACCTCCCCAGGGATCCCAATTTTCAGAAGCCGCGTTCTAATACAGCAGCGTAGAAGGAGACGTCACAATGGTTCTGCTGGGCTCGGGTGGCCGAGGAACAGGAACGCGAGAGACGCTCCCCTGCACTGTGTACCCCCGCTACGCAATGGGGGCTCTCGGTGCCCGCTGGGCGCCGGTGTGAAGCGGCTGAAAGTGAAGCGGGGGAAGGCCAGGGAAAAGCCCCCCCGAGCGAAGGCGCGCCGGGAGGTGACTGCCAACCAGAGGAGGGTCCCCCACGCCGCTCCCACCAGCGAGTGGGGCCCGCCCCCGCGCTTGGCCCCGCCCCCTCCTCTCTGCCCACGCCGGGCTGTGCCGTGGGGCGCAGGCGCGCTGGCCGCCGCGGCTGGGGTCGGCCTCGCTGACGTCAGGACGCTTCGCGGGTTCCAGCCCCCAGCCCCGGCCCCCCGAGTCCCGCGCGGGCCGGGCAGGGGCGGGGCGTCGGGCCAGCTGAGCTATCCCGTCAGACCGCGCCAGTTTGAATGAAAGCTTGTCAAGATGGCGACGGCTGAGGCCGAGGCGCGAGGAGGTGAGGATGGAGCGCTGCCCCCTCGCCCTACCCGTCCCCAGGCACGCTCCCGAGGCCCGGGCAGCGGGGCCGTCCCGCGGGCCAGCCGGACGGCGACAGGGCGGGACGCTGCTCGGCGGAGCCCCAGAGCCCGGGATGCGCGCCGCGGGCTCCTACCCTGCCCCCGGGCCGCCGACCCGCCTCCTGGCCCGCGGTCTCGCGGACACGGCTCCGGCTTGACTCCTTTGTGGTGGTTTGAGCGAGGCGTGAGGTGTGCGTTCGGGCCTTTTATCTGGGAAGCGCGAGCCGTGGGTGCGAACGTGACCTTAATTCCAGGGGGAGGAAGAAATGGGGGCTGAGGAGTGTTGAGAGTGGTAGCAAGCGAGCCCCCCGCACCCCCGGGGCAGACACACTGGGAGGCTCTGCTCCCCGCCGGGAACCTCCAGAAAGTGCGTGTCTGAGGGCGCAGCCTCTGGTTTGCGGTCACTTTTTGTGCCCACCGGGAACTTGAGTGTTATTTATGCGGACCCTGAAGAATCGGACGCGGGGCGCGCGCGTGGGGGGTGGTGTGGAGCGCGCTTTGAAAGCCTGGAACTTTCAGTGCATTCTGGAATTCAAAGGTGTTTGCTAGCTGTGCCCCCGCCATGGAGAGTATGACCTCGTTGTTCCCCAAACTTTTCTTCTTTCAAGAATGGCAGTGGTTAGCGTGTAAACTAGTGAAAGTGTTTTGCGGTGATGAGGAAGTATTTTGATTTTTGTCCGTGAAATCGTTTTCTACATTATCGTATAGACTGTCTTGATTTTTTTTTTTAACCAATTGTTTGCGGGGTTTTTTTGTTTAATGTTCAAAATTGTTCTCAAAAGTAGTATTTTCATCGAAGAGTTGTGTTTTGAATCCTCAGCTAGATTAAAAAAATGTTAGGAACAGCAGAGCAATACACCTTGGGTAGCTACCCGAGAGGAACCGCCTTTGCATGTGATCCGCATAATAAATTAACTTTGCAGGAAACATCCTTAAGTTTTTTAGGTGGAAGAGGTTTGTAGGATCATTCCTCTTAAATCGCTGCCCTACCCCCAAACCACTCCAAAGCAGTCAATCCCGCCCCTCTCCCCATTTTACCTTTTGGTTTCTTGATTTAGAATTATGAATTGTCTGCAGCCAGCAGGGTGGTGGAAATTGTGCTTAAGAGTTTGTGACAATAAAGTCTCTGTGTGAGTTGGAGGGGGTGAGTAAAGGATGTGGTGAAGTTAGACCAGCTAGCATTGTTCTCTCTTCCCTGAAAATACCTCAAAACACCAGGTTATTGCAACTACCTTGGAGAGCTACCAAGTAAAGCTTGAGTTTACTGATAGATTTTGTTTGATAACCCCCCACTTTCTCCACCCCCCAAATTTTTTCAGTGAACCTGATGCCCCAGAAAGATTGAGACCCCACTGAAATCATGTAACTAGGTGGCCAAGCAAGGGTTAGTAGGACAGAGGATTCTTGATTAATTGACAATACCCATACCCATAAAACTAAGTTCATTAATTACATGTTCGTAAGCATGGGTTTAATTTATACTTTAAGTTCAGTATGGTAGCAAACTGTTGGCAGAAACTTGGAGGTAAAATCTTGTGCAGCACCAGTAGTTTCTGGTTTCCATAAGGTTGATTATGAGTATGTCTTATTTTCTTCAAGTTCACTCTGTAGATACAGTAAATTGAACACTGCTTTGTAACTCTTGGCTTTAAAAACAATACAGGCAATAAGTATTACCAAAATCAATATACTCTCCATTTTTAAATTATAACTCTTGGGTTTATTCACTTTGATAATAACACTACAACATGAGCAAGATAATAAGTGGAGTTAAAATTTCATGCAGCATTCTAAAGGGGGAAAACTAGGACATAATGATTTGAGTTTGTAACCATAGAACTGTATTTCAATTAGATTTCATTTCTTATTGTCCAATTAAAAGAAATAAAGTGACTTTCATTATAAGATTGTGTTTTAAGGTACAGGGTGTCCATAAATAGCCAACTATTTTAATTGCACATGAACTTAATGAACACCCTGTATATTTTGATATGTATGATATATAGTAAGTATGTCCTAGATAAGCTATGTTTTATTAAATAGCAATTATATTCTTTGTACATGTAAGTCAAATACATTACATTCTGTTGACCTTTGCATCTACATATAATCTTTAAAAAGCTTATATACATGCAACTTTTTGTTCATATAGTAGAAATTAACTGATGTCAGTTAAACATTAGTAGGATCAAAATCCATGGAAAAACCCAAGAAAAACAATTTATGAAAATAGTTCTTTAATGCTTAATTTTTTTTTCTCTAAGATATAATTGATTTCTTGTCATATGAATTTTTAGTCCTGTAAAACTGCCATTTAAAGGGTGGGGATATAGAGGTTTTAAGTTTCTCTTTTTTTTTTTAACCGAGTAGCTATTTCACTAGTAAAGAATTCTATTTTCTTATTGTAGCTTGGTGTGTGCCTTGCCTAGTTTCACTTGATACTCTTCAGGAATTATGTAGAAAAGAAAAGCTCACATGTAAATCGATTGGAATCACCAAAAGGAATCTAAACAATTATGAGGTGGAATACTTGTGTGACTACAAGGTAGTAAAGGTAAGGCAAATATCTAGCCCCTTAAAAGAGACCTAATCAGACTTCAGTATTAAATATTTCTGTACTATATGAAAAATTGAAAAGTAAGCAAAGTTCTTCTTAATGTTTAAAATTCTAAGCCATGATAAAGTTATATGTCCTATCATCTATATTGCCAAATAACATTGAGAGGATTTTGAAGCATAACACGTTCTTACAATAGACTATTTTAAGGTGCTTGTATCACTCTAATTCCAACTCTTGATTATCTCTGTGTGGATTACCAGAGCAAATGTTTGATCTCAGATTGGCTTCTCCTGGTCACTCATTTTTTCCTTGATCGTACTTCCCCCCATCCCCTAAAATGAACGTAGACTTTCAAACCAATTGTAGCATTACTAAATCTCACCATTTGTATTTCCGCCATCGTATCAAACTGTAGTGAGTCTGGAGTACAGTAGATTGGCCTGGATTTCAAAGTCATTTCCAGCCTCTGTTTAGTATCTTCTGGCTGCTGCAGACTCATTTAACGTCTCCGGGCCTCCCTTTATTTCTCTTAAAAATGACATAGTTGTTCATCTGAGGTGTTTTTTTAATCTAAATTTTATAATTATTTTAGAGTAATTCATCTGCCTGTAGCCTACCTCCCCCTCTAACAACTCTTTTTTGGTCATTAACCTACCAATTCTTCCAGATAAATAAATGAGGAATTTTTCATTCTTTATTCTCCTTCTTCATTTTCTATATTGAACCAGTCACTAAATCCACATCTTCCTTTGAAATGTCCATATCTTATTGGTATCACTGCCTTCCCCTCTCAGTGGGATCCTAGGAGCAAGCATTTTAACCTACACTCAGCATCCTTCAACCCCTGAAACGGCCCAGTCACCTGCCCTCTCGGTTTACCGGCTCTGGACTGACCAGCCTAGCAGAGATTATTACATAATCATGCTTATCAGCCCCATTAAAATGTTTCTATTCTCCTACTGCTCTGTTCTACTTGATAAGCTTTTTATCTATTGCTTTCTTGTCAGCAATTTTCCCAACTTTTCTTACTTTCTGCATCTACCTTCTCATATTTGGCTGAAGACTTCTTCCGTCACCTTCACCACAAGCTGTCTGTATCTTCCCCAATTCTTACTTGAAGGTGTTACCATCTCTCTTTTTTCTTCCCATCTGGGACTTTGCTTAATCTGCGATATCTTTTTTATATCAGTCTCTCTTTTTTCACTTATTTATCTCAAATCAGGAAACATACCAATGGGTCTTCCCTAACCTTCAAAAATCTGTCTTTAACCCTGCAACCCCACTCATGCAAGTATTTCCTGTTTTTTCCTTCTACTTCATTTCCCATTAACTTTTTAAGCAGCTTTGTTGAAAAGATATAATTCACATACCATTATACAGTTCACCTATTTAAAGGATACAAATCAAGTCTTTTAGTACACTCATAATTTTATTTATTTATTTATTATTAAATCACAGCTGTGTACATTAATGCAATCATGGGGTACAATGTGCTGGTTGTATATACCACTTGAAATGTTTTCATCAAACTGGTTAATATAGCCTTCACTGCATTGTCTTAGTTATTGTGTTAAGACATTTATACTCTACACTTAGTAAATTTAACATGTACCCTTGTAAAATGCACCGTAGGTACGATCCCACCAATTACCCTCCCTCCACCCATCCTCCTCCTCCCCTCCACTGTCCTCCCTCTCCTCTTCCCCCTTCTTCTTGGGCTATAGTTGGGTTATAACACTCATAATTTTAAAATGTTTTTCATCACCTCAAAAAGAAATCCCACGCCCCTTAGCCATTACCCTCCAAAACTCCTCCCTCACCCTTCCAACTCCAGTCCTAGGCAACCATCAAATCTACTTTCTAGATTTGCTGTGTGGACATTTTCTATAAAAGGAATCATACAGTATGTGGTCCTTTGTGATTGGCTTCCTTCACTTCGTGTGTTTTTAAGGTTCATCCATGTTGTAGCAGGTATCAGTACTTCATTCCTTTTTATTGCCAAATATTTCATTGTGTGGACATAGTACATTTAATTCATCCATTCATCTCTTTATGGATGTTTGGGTTGTTTCCATTTGGGGGCTATTATAAATAATGCTGTTATGAATATTCATGTACAAGTTCCTCTGTGGGCATAAGTTTTCTTTTCTCCGGAGTATATACCTAGGAGTTAAATAATTGCTGGGTCATGTGGTTACTCAGTGTTCAGCCATTTGAGGAACTGTCCTCCAAAGCCCTGCACTATTTTATTTTCCCATCTGCTGTGTCTCAGAGTATATCCTGGACAGTACTTGTTCTTGTCTGACTGTTTGATGACAGCCCTCTGGGTGGGTGTGACGTGGGATTCACCGTGGTTTGACTTGCAGTTCCCTGACGACTGATGATGCTGAGCATCTTTTCATCTGTGTATTGGCCATTTGTAAATCTTTGGAGAGTTGTCTGTTTATATTCTTTGCCAGTTTTTCAAAACTAGTTGATCACTTTGTTACTGAGTTGGAATGGTTCTTTATGTTCTGGATACAAATCCCTTATCAGACATGTGATTTTCAAACATTTTCACAATGTGGGTTGTCATTGTGAAAACACTTCCCCTTCACTTTCTAACCCACTATTCCGACTGCCCAATTTGAAAACCTCACAGCTTCCTCTACTACTTTGCCACATTTAACACTGTTGGCTACCTTTTCTTCTTTGAAATTCTCTTGTCCATGGAGAGACTGTCCAGATTCAAATTCTGCCTCTTATCATTTATTAGTTGTGAGACCTTCAACAGTTTCCTTAGTTAGTCTTTCTGTCCTTCAGTTTTTTGACTATGAAATAAAGATAGTTACAGTAGTGATCTCATAGGCTACTAGTGGCAATAATGAGTTGGTAGAGGTAGAATGCTTAGAACAGAGCTGACACTTGGAATTATATAATACTGTACTGGTGTTACTGTCACTGTTGCCTCATCCCCACTTCTTTTTTCTTGTTTGTGAATCTCCTTTCCTGTCTCTTATCCATCCTCCCTCTGAAATCTGGATCATCTCCAAGGCTCAGTACTCGGCCCTCTTCTCACCTTGAAGTTGCTCTGCGGGTTACCTCTTACTCAGTGGTTTCTACTTACATCTGTTCAGCTCCTGATTCCCTAATCTTTCTGAGACCCTGACCTCTTCTTTCTGGGCTTCATTTTGAGCTAGATGCCCTGCAGGTAACCCAACCGAGTCTACCACATTCAAACCCTACCTGTTGTCCTCACTAAAGTCTCCTCCCATTATTAACAGAATTCTCTCAGATACCTAATTAATAACTTCATACATTTTTAATTCTTCCTGCTTACCCTCTAAATGTGGCAGGTGAACAGACTGTGTTATCTATACCTATTTGTCTTTTCCTATTCGTTTCTGCTATATTTTCTTTTTTTTCTTTTTGAGACAGAGCCTCAAGCTGTCCCCCTGGGCAGAGCGCCGCGGCACCACAGCTCACAGCAACCTCCAACTCCTGGGCTCAAGCGAGTCTCCTGCCTCTGCCCCCCAAGCAGCTGGGACCACAGGCGCCCGCCACAATGCCCGGCTATTTCTTGGTTGCAGCCATCATTGTTGTCTGGCGGGTCCGGGCTGGGGATTCGAACCCGCCACCCTAGGTGTACGTGGCTGGCGCCCTAGCCGGTTGAGCCACAGGCGCCGAGCCTCTGCTATATTTTCAGAGACAATTAGTTACCTACCGGTCTGTGCTTACATTGAGAGAGCTGCCAAGATTTTTTTTCAGAATCCTGAGTGTTGTAATTCAGTTTCAGATAGTTTTTGCTGTTTAGTATCTCCTGAGACTTTTCTCATCAATCGTATGGTTTCTTGCTTTGGAATAAGGAACCTTACTTTGCTCACTTATGTCCTCAGTTCCCACATACCTATCTATCCCTCATTTCTTCTTCTCCTCAGCACAGATACTTAATCCATAGCCAGTATTACTTCACATCTCCACCTGTTTTCTTTGCTTCTTTTTCTTTCACATATTCAGGGTAGGGAAAAGATCTTATGACTCTGACCCTTTCCTGGTTGGCCCCTCTACTTAACTCATGAAAGACATGGTCTCAGTGCCATCTTGCACACTGCCCTTGCAGTTGTTTTTTAACTCTAGCTCTGATTGCGTCTGGGCCTTACTTTAGACCTTTTAATGGTTCTCTGTTGTTAAACCGTCTAATCTGAGACCCTCAGCATGGGAGTGAGTTCTTTGTCATCTGACCACCCACTGTGTTTCTAGCTTCATCTCTTGTCACATTTCCTGCTTTCTATCCACACTGAACTACGTGTAGATGTGTACTTTAGCTTTGATTTACTGAGCACATACTATGAACCAGATACTCACTGTTCTGAGCACTGGAAACACAGCTAAACAGCAGACCCAGCTTATGTCGTAATGCCCCGAGCGCGTATGCCCCATTGTGCCCTCTTGCTTTTCTCATCCAGTTTCCTCCTTGGAATACTGCAGTTTCCCTTCTCTGCTTGGCAAAGTCCTGCTGGGCTTGACTCCTGTTGAGCTGCCCTTTCTTCCTCACGTCCAGCACAACTGGTAGCTTTATGCTAAGGACTTATAAAGCACTCTTCTTGTCCTTATTCTGGAACAGTGGTTCTCAACTTTCCAAATGCCATGACCCTCATGTTTCGTTGCTCAGAGCAACAAAAACAATTTTATGGTTGGGGGGTCACCACAACATGAGGAACTGTATTAAAGGGTCACAGCATTAGGAAGGTTGAGAACTTGTCTGATTTTATAGTTTTGTTTGTGTCATGCCTTCCCTGCTACATTGTTCACCACTTGAGGGCCAGGGCTCTGCAGTCCCTTGTGTGGTGTGGGGGAGCGCAGTCGTGGTGAGTGAGTTGGGTTGTCTTTTGCTTCAGTCATTTCCGCGGTGCCCGCAATCACTAGTAGACGAGCCCTTCCTGGCTTCATGCTTTGGTTATAGCAATACTCTACTGACTCAGACCTCCTCCTTCCCGGATCTTCACTCAGCAAAC